CTCCGATAGAATCATGCATATTGTTGCTCACCAGCAATGGGTTCTAGTGTATTTTAAACACGTACGTCTCACGATTGAATGCAGCCTGATTGTGTACTATGAATGAAAATGAAGCTAGTGAAAAAAAACATACGGAGACTCCCTAGGCATGATGAAGTCCAGGGTCCGAGATAGTCGTCAATGTTTAGACAACATTTTGTCAGACTTGCCTCCTGCCTGAGAAATCTCTTGGAGACACACCCCGATAATCTAAAAAAAAAATGGCAGCATATCCACGGAGTGAATGATGGAGAGTGGGGCGAAGAATTCGTCCATCCATTCGTTCTTGCTTCCGTCCGTCCATGCGTTCGTCAGTGTGACCGTCCATGCGTCCATCAGCCCGTCCGTGCGTGCGTCTGTTCGTGCGTCCGTCCCTGCATTCGTCCATGCAGCCGCCCCTGCGTCCGTTCATGCGTCCATCCATGCATCTGTCTGTGTCTGTTCGTCCATCTATTCAACACTCCAAGTACCACTATCTCGCACCTTTTCATAATATATTCCCCATATAGAAGCACCGCCATCCAGCGGACATTCCAAGGACTAAACGAGAGGTGGCACACGCACACTTTCTTACGGCTTGCGCTTCGGGTCTACTTCCCACCTTTAACCACCTCGAGTTCATGGTATATACTAGTTCACTGTATTCATGGCACTGCGGCCGAACGCTCGCTAAACCTTTCGAAAACCAAGGAGGTTATGCCCAGCGAGTATGACGTAGCAAACTTTTTCAGTCAGATAGTGCTCAATGTACATGCCAATGACTGCTAATGGGAAATGAGAGGCGGAGAATTCGGCTTTTACTTTCTTACGGCTTGCGCTTCGTATCTACTTCCCATTTTTAACCACCTCGAGTTCATTCATGGTATATACAAGTTCATTGTATTCATGGCACTGCGGCTCAACGCTCGCTAAACCTTTCTAAAGCTAAGGAGGTTACACTCAGCGAGTATAACGTAGCAACCCTTTCTAGTCAGATAGTGTTCAATGTACATGCCAATGGCTGCTGATGATGATCGCAGCCTGCGCGTTAACTAAAAGCCGAATGCTCCTGTCTCTCATTCCCCATTAGCAGCTATTGACATGTACATTGAGCACTATTTTTTGTTGTTCAACAACGCACAGAAGAAGTCTCTCACCGGCACCACCTTGGAGGTCAAAATGTTATACTTGTTACATACTACGGGGGACGAACGGGTGCCGCTATAAGGAGCTTCGCCCCTAAAAAAAGCACAGCTTGCACTAAGCCACACAAGCTGTGAAGCAGCGAAAATGGGTGATCCTGAAGACTATTCTGGTTGCTTTTAGGTCATTGCTCGGTTTTAGCTAAGTGATTCTCGGTTATTTCTACACTGATTCTCAGCCCAAAGAGGTCTGAGCACACAGGTACAAACACGGGCACGTTGTCATTGGCTTCTATTGCTCCGGGGTCTTCTCGCAGCTGGTGTTGCCAGTCCCGTTCCCTAGTATCCTCGTGTAAGTACTCAGGCTCTTTGGCTCATCACTACTGATTTGCAGCCATTTATTCGGCTAGCTGTTGCCTTCTTTTATTTCAGTGGAAGTTGCGCGTAGTGGGATTTACCCAATATCTGTGGCACATACCCGCTTATGGTGGTAGCTTCTTTAAATGTGAAGCATTTCTTTGCACACTGCAAGCACTTTTGGCATCTATCTATGTATCTATCTTATCTATAGATGGTAAGATAGTGTGAGGATTACAACAAGTTGGTCATCACACGAAAAATTGGGGACCCTTAAGCTTCGTCTTTAGAAGTTGAACGCAATAGCGATATTCTGCTCCTAGTGCGTACTTCAAACACTTAGTGTACGAAATCTTTTCGAACATGGCCTAAAGGGTGTAGTAATGTGTGCGCCTTTTGTTGTGGGTGACTGGCTTTCAACTATGAAGTCGTTATGATAATCTCATGTTCTGATGCCTGATGGTAATTCACGTTTGTAACGTGCATTATCACAGCAGCATTTCATGTTAAATTGTGAAGCATGTATACAGGATGTGTGTGTTTGCAAAGCGTGAAAGTTACATTCACTAAATTTATAAGCAGAGGAAGTTATTTTCACTGCATTCACAAGGAGACGCGTGGCTGTGAGGCAGAACACCCGCATGCCATGCAAACGACCCGGATTCGATCCCCGCTCAGACCCAGAGCTTTTTATTATTTATTTTATTTGCATCTTTCTCAATTTTTTGGTCACGCAAGATGCTCGATTTTTCAGTCATGCAAAGATGATAATTTTATGCTTACAACCAACGATGCCAATGCTGGCATTTCTGAGAAACAAGGTCTCTAAATATTCAGCAAATCCCACGTACCTTGGGAATTTATGTTATGTGAAGCATGCAGATGCAAGATGATTGTGTTTTATTTTTATTTTTTATTGAGTGAGACATTATGAAGTGGTGTTCAATGTATGTAGAAATGCACGCACACATGTTAAACAGCCACATATGTTTTATATTAGCAGTTGCTTTCAGTTGCATAATGATGCCAACAGCAATGTAGATATTAGCAACACCAGAAGTGGTAAGCTGATGTGAAATTCTGGTGTTTGCGCTGCGGTTCCCGAGGATGGTAGCCCTTGAAACTGCTGCACAAGTCAACCTCAATTGATGGCGCCTAACTACAATTGATGTTAACCCGATATATGACGGCTGTATCATAGGAGTACATATGTAATGTTTATACAATTTGGTAGCCAGTACTGCAACATAGTATATTCAAGACCTGGTGTGGCTCTTTGGTAGAATACTTGATTTCCATGCAGAATGCTAGGGTTCGATTCCTGCTGGGATACTGACATTTATTCTTTGCATTCCTCCTGTCAACGCTACCTATATCAACTTTTTCTTAAAGCTGAAACGTTAAAGTTACCTATGTGTGTTTTCGCCATTACTGGGTAGATATAAAATGTCAATCACCAGTGGCACGTACCCGCATACTGGCGGCACATACCCACCCCCTGGTATGTACCACTGTTTTCTAGAAAGTGTTTGATGGCATACGCGACCAGATTCGCGTCATATTTGTCACACCATCTTACTTTCCTGTACAAATTTGGTGTACCCTAAGTTAAGGGGGTCATCACCAGAGCCCCAGCATTCTGCTTAGCAACCAAGCATTCTACCAAAGATCACGCCAGATCTCGTAACTGCTTTTCAAGTAGACTGTAATGTTAGTGAAGTGCCAATCGTGGTAGCAGTGCTGGCTATCGAACGGCACATACGAACTCCTATCATACAGCCGTCACGTCAAGTTAACGACAACTGTAATGAAGTGCCATTCACTGAAGTTCATTCATCTAGCTGTATCTAGGGCCGCTATCTTCACTGGCACAAGCGCTACATACCAGCTCACCGCTTCTGGTATTGCCAATACCCATTTTGTTGTTGTTGGCATCGTTGCGCAACAGTAAACAAGCGACTGTTTAGCATACGTCTGTGCATAAAAAAAATTGGTACATATCTTCAGCGTCATTTCATAGCATTTCGCTCAACATAAAAATTGCGACAGTCATTTTTTCTCCGCATGCTTAGCATCGATTGAGATCTGCCGAATTTTTTTTGATACGAAATACAAGGAACAATTTGCTAAACATCATCGCTGTTAAGAAGTCCCGCATCGTACTGTAAGGCCGCGTTCACACTGAGCAATCCGGCCGCCGAAAGTGCTCCGAATCCGGTTCGGCGGCGGCGAGATCCGCCGAAAGGGCCCTCTCCACGCCTATCGCTCTCGGACCGATTTTTGCCGCCGAATCGGTCACCGCGGACCAATAGGAGCGCTTGTCAAGGAATTTTGAAAAATGGCGGCCAAGGCCTACTCACTTGTTATGCTGCAGTGCACGTAACTGAATGTTGAAACCAACGGGAGTTTAACCTACTCTGTGCCTACTTCGCCTCCGTGTTTGGTGAAAGAGGTGGCCGAGCTTGCTGTTGGCGTGACCGAGCTTGTTGCGGTCTTGCAGAGCCAAACGAACCCACCAACGCCGCTGGCGTCGGTGGTTTTTCTGCTTTTCGTGCATTGCAAGACAGCCACTTGCCAGCAAAGTGAGCAGTACTGTCTTTTCTTGCTTCTTGCGTACGAGAATCGTCGAAGTATACACCACCGGATAGCGTAATAACGTTTGCGAGCTGCGACAACAACCGGGTGACAGCGCATCCATCCCGCGTTCGCCCCGTAGTAGATGGCATATTCGGCGGCGCGGGGCGCGTCCAGTGCGAACGAAGCTGCGTTTCAGGCGGCAGGGGAATTTCGGTCGCTGTAGAAAGCGGATCTTTCAGTGTGAACTGTGCCTAAATCCCACTTGCTACAGTAACCTATGTTGACATACAAACACGGAAGCTTGGACGCGTTCGTAAGTCATCAGAAACCGCTCGTCCGTCTGCTCTTTTCGTATGGCCTCGTTATTCGGCACTGAGCAGTTATGTTTATGATGTATTTACTTGCTGAAGCTCACCTCAGCATGACAGCAAGCTTAATCCCATAGCCACTGCTTGAGAGCATTTACTTTAGAAGCAGCATTATTCCTCGCCCAGCGAAATTTCGCAACGTTGACAAGGCGCACGATTTGCATTTAGACTCACTTCGTGATTTTCAGCCGCCCAGCCTCAGACAAGGGGGGTGCTTTGCTCCATCTAGAAGCGATGTATTTCGGCACCTGAAGTGTAAGAGCAGGAATAGGTGTTTTAGTCAACATTTGATCGGGTCAACAAACCAACTAACATACCTTTACGAGCCACACGCCTCGGGCCGCGTTGGAGCAGTCAACGTCTCTGTCTTGATCCCCCATTTTTATACACTCTCAATTACCAATCAAAACTCAAATTTAACCGTAGAAATAACTGCCTTCACGTAGCGACTTTTTACGGCATGAAGGCAACCATCTTTGAATTCTGCGCCACCTGACAATCACAGCTGAAACTAAAAACGACTTAAAGCGCTTTAAGTATTAAATGCAGTCAAAACAGTCGACGTCTTCTTAAACTTTCACATATACCTTACTGAGCTGTGTTTTAAGTTTTTTCTTGTAAATTGTGCTCTGCTTGATGCTATGTATGACATCTGAATATATTCTACATTTTCGCATTCGGCGCTGATTGCCGCTTTCTCCCATCATCGCAACCTGCGCGCGAAAAATTGCGCGGGGTTGGTTGGACTCATCGCGCTGATTACATACGGTGAGTTGACGTTTTGCATGGTCCTTTCACCCGCTGCCTTCGGGCTTCATTCATTCATTCATCAATGCGGGGTCACTGTGCGTTAAGCAAGTGCGAAGAAGACGAGACTGGCTTCGCTGTGGCGAATTAACTTCCGTGACGCAGCCCCGTAGTGTCGTGTGCCGGTGTAGAGGTGTGCGACGAATTCGCTCATGTGCAACACCAGACGTTAATTGAGCTTCAAAAGGTAATTGAGCGTTGCCCCGCCGAGGTGGTCTAGTGGCTAAGATACCCGACCGCTGACCCGCAGGTCTCGGGATCGAATCCCGGCTTCGGCGGCTACATTTTCTATGGAGGCGGAAATGCTGTATGCCCGTGTGCTCAGATTTGGGTGCACGTTAAATAACCTCAGGTGGTCGAAATTTCCGGAGCCCTCCTCTACGGCGTCTCTCATGATTATATGGTGTTTTTGGGACGTTAAACCCCACATATCAATCAATCAATTAATTGAGCCTTGCACTTCATTTTACGCAGGCGTCGAAATCAATCATGCACGCTTTTTTGAAAACGGCCAACCCAAACTTAACTCTTCCCAAGGAGAAAACTAAGGAACCCAAGCAGGTTCAGAAGAAACCAGTGCATATTCCGTGGGTGGAAAAATAGTAAGCATTTTTTGGGTGTTCATTGTACCTTTTAGTGTTGATTGTGTGTAACAGTGTGTGACATTCACTTACTTTTCCTTTTTTCACACAGCCGGCCGAAAACTGTAGACGATGTGGCTCACCAAGATGAGGTGGTTTCTGTCCTTAAAAAGTCGCTTCAGGGAGCCGATGTAAGTGTAACAGAAAAATAATATTTATACAAATGTCATGTGACACCAATCATCACGTACAAGTTGACCCCCATTACTTGAGCCAGGGCTAAAAAGTTAAAAGTACAACAAAACGAATTGAACTGAATGCACTAGCCTAAGCTACTCAAGCCGTATCCCTTTTCAATTAACAGACTTTTTCATCATTTACTGAAGACCCACAGTATAATATGCAGAGTTGTAAAGCACTTTCAGAAAACGGTGACTGAATTGTATTTGTTACATTCGCATGCTCCATTAGTGTGATAGCTTTACTACTCCCACTACAAACCTCAAAAAATGATCTTGCATGTGCTTTTGACCTTGAAGATTAATTGCTAAGGTGTCTGGCCTTGGATGCCTTATCTCCTCAGCTATGCTCAGCCAGCAGCATGCATTTGTGCCATCATCTAAAGGTGGAGCACCTGATGTCGGACAACATTAGACCACTCTGCTGCTACAGCAATAGCGCTGCTTGTGACCTTGTTCAACGATCACACACATTAGAGCAGCAGGATAGCGGAGCACCAGCACTCAAATCATGTGACTTTTTCATATTTCGTTGGCTTTCTTTGCAATGCTGACAAAAAGGACTACATGTGACGTATCAAACAGGAGAAAAATTCAACCGATGGTTTCTGCAGGTGCCCCACAACTCCGTGTTCAACATTGGATTTCAAGGCAACAATTAAAAAGAATGGGGTAATTGAATACAATGAGAATAAAAAATAAAAGACAGCCTGAGTAATTATAGGCTAGTGCAACTACTGTGCAACATGGCTTTCATTTTTACAGTCCCGGTTCAAGTCACAAATTATACATTAATATACATAAAAATTGGGATATTCATTTTATCAGGGAATAGTACAATCATTAGAAACCAAATATGCTTCAACACAGTGGAAGTAAGAACAAAAAGAAGCAAGAAATGAATTACACAACAAAAGAAGAAACTTAGTATCTTCTACTAAGGGTCGGGGCAACTTTTTGTTGTGGTTGTATCATGGAGGGGTGAACTGCTTTGCTTTGTTTAATAAGAATTGTAACGATTGAAAATTGAAGTATCTTTTGTTTGTGTTGTTTTGATGTGAAGGCATGTGAAGTGCAAACAAATTTAATTCATACAAAATAGAAATGTTGCATTATTAGGGATGTCACAATTAATTATTTCCCTGAATTCAATGCTTGCAGCTTCCCAATCTCCTGTTTTATGGACCACCAGGAACAGGAAAGACATCCACTATACTTGCTCTTGCCAGAGAACTCTTTGGGTATGCAAATCCAACTTAAAGACTGTGCTGTACATTTTATTTCTCGTACGATCTATATGCACTTCTGTCAGATGGTATAGACTGAAACAAATAAGTAGTCATAACATGTTACGAATACTATCTGTATGTAAGTTTTCTACTTATTGTTATGTGATTTGTGCTTTATAAATAGACAACTTAATGACAACAGCATTATTTTTTTCAGAGACATGTATAAGAGTCGCATTTTGGAGCTAAATGCATCTGATGAACGAGGCATCCAAGTTGTCCGAGATAAAATCAAGACCTTTTCACAACTCACAGCAAGTGGTACAGGACATGAGTAAGAGCCATTTTTTTTTTTTTTGTAGAATTTTGTAATATAGCAGTGTTTCCACTTTGTGAATACAATATGCTCTACTTGCAGTGGCAAACAGTGTCCACCATTCAAGATTGTGATTCTAGATGAAGCAGATTCCATGACCTCAAGCGCTCAGGTACTGGGCTCCTAATGTGCTATTCAAACTCTCAGTGCATGTAGTGTTTGGACAGATTGTTGCATTAATATTTTCTCCTGTAAAAAAAATGTGTTTCTCGGGCAAATAATGAAAACACGCTACTTATATAAAGAACACTTTCTGTTTTTTGGTCGCTTTAGCTTCTTTTCATTGGTCCTGATTAGCTCGCACAATAAAGGACCAGTCAACAGGCCCCGACTTTTTTTTTTTTACACCCCCCAAACAAGCTTGCGCATCTTTCCTACGCTTGACCAACTTCCTTCCATGCGCAGTGACGTCAACTCTGCGATCGACGACGTGACGCATGCGCACAGCTCGTCAATTGGTCTAAACCAGGTCTCGACAAACAGTAATAAAGCAAACATCGCCGATAGCCTGAGTTGGCGTCACTGCCCATGTGAGGAGGTTGTTCAGGCATAGGAAAGATGCACAAGCTTGTTTGGGGGGTGTAAAAAAATTAAAGCCTGTTAACTAGCCCTTTAACGACAGAATCACATTTGTCTAGAGTGCCCAGCCCATCGCTTCAAGTGATTTTTTCTGTTGAAATATGCAAAGACCTTCATCATAATGATACCCGAAATATTCATACTGCATACTAGGTGTCTTCTGTTATAAATCAAGCGTGAACGGAAGCTTGTAGCTGATGTGAAGGTAGTAGCTGCGGACAACAGCGCCGATAGCCACACACTCCACCGCTCTAGACAAGTATTATTCCGCGTGTACTTGCTATGGCAGTTAAGCAGGTCAAGTGTTAGCCCAACGACATAGGGTTCCATTCTTGGCCCCACATTTCAGTTTGGGCAGAATTCACCCATGCACCATACCTAAGCGGACGTTAAAAGACCCTAGGTGGTCAGAATTATTCAAGAGTCCTCCACTTGCGGTGTGGCTCACTGGTATGCAAGGCCTTACTATTGCCATGGCCTCTACATGGAAAGACACACATACGGCCTGCCACGTTTGGCGGCTTTTTTATGGGAGTGGTCGTGGCAGCCTTACTTCCAGTGGCAATCACTGCGGCACTAAGTGGGGACACGAAAACAGGTGCTGGCAGTGGTGTTGTGACAGCTAATGCAGGAAATAGTGGTTGTCACACAACTGTGTCCAAAATATAACGGCTAGTCTTTGCTAAGGATGGTCTCTCTTACTTGCTTTAATAATTTTTTCTTCCCCACTCTAATTGCAGTCATGATGTATTGTGCATTAACTGGAGTTTGTTTGCATAATCTGGTTCATTATCAACTACAGTTTTTGACTGTGTCATGCAAGATAAACTCCTTGCTTAGTTGGAGAAAAAATAAACCACTATGCACATAGCCACATTATATCATGCTAAATGTGAGCTAATGTCGCCATTATTTTCATGAGCTTTTTAAATGAATTTATTCGCAACAGTGTGCATTGGGAAGAACAGCTGGTTAAACAGCTTGACATTGTCCTGGCCACTCCACACACACCTGTTAGCATAACAGTGCTTACAAAATAATAGTTAACATGTATAGTGCATTGTACATCGCTTACATAAGGAGAAGAATGAAATATGCTTGCACATTCCATGTCTTGGACTATCTTACAACAAACATGTTTAAAAAAACAAAACAATGTAAACATTTCTCAGCAAACTAACGATGCCAAAAGTTAGATTTTATGGTCTTCTGTTGTGTCAAGAAACAGTCTCTGCAGTTCTTCAAATGTAATTTATGTGACATTAAAAAGCTGTTCTTTATCATTGCATTTGGTAATGTTGGTAGCATGAACTGCAGCATGTGTTCACCATAATTAGTGCAAGATTTTTACCGCATAAACGGCTTGCAAGTACAAACCAAGCCAGGCATATTAAATTGGCTTATTTATAACCCTCCGTAACTGTCAGCTTCGAAATTTCTTAAACTCTTTGAGAGCCTTGGAATTTTTATAAAAATTCTGATGAATGCTTTATATAATGGGTCATGTTTTTAAAATTTTGCATAGCAATACCTTTGCAATCTATGATTTTTTAAAGTGAATATTAATTTTTTGTAACCGTCTAGCTACATTGGAGTGGCCAACAATTTTCTCTTTTATCATGGACTTGCGCTGAGCAAAATTTATTACTTGAATGTCCTGGTATAATTGCTTTCCATTTTAGTTTTTCTTACAACAGTACAGCTGCTGTTTGTTTTTACTTTAGGCAGCATTGCGTCGTACCATGGAGAAAGAGACGAAGACGACTCGTTTTTGTCTCATTTGCAACTATATAAGCAGGTAAAAAGCACCTATTTCGTTCCGTGTTCCTGAGCATAACCCTTTAGAGCTGTTCTTAACTGACTTCCTTTTTTCAGAATTATAGACCCACTGACATCGCGTTGCTCAAAGTTCCGTTTCAAGCCTTTGCCTAAGGAAGTTCTAATAGGACGCCTCCGCAACATATGTACGGCTGAAGGAGTTCAATGTGATGATCAGGTCCGAAACACTATTGCTTCACTTATACGCATTTTAGTCGCAGTAACCACAGTGCGGGAAATCCCTGCTGCAATAGTGACAGATAGCTGCGTTACAAGGTATGCTAGTTAACTTCGGCCTTCATCTTTGTGAATAATTTTGCAGCACATCAAGCAATAAAGGCTGTGCAATATTTGAAATATTTTTTGACATTAGAAATTTTTAATTGAAAATTTTAGAACCACCAGGCTCCTGTCGTTTTCGCGCCAATATTTGGAATATTTTTTTTAGACGTTAGAGATTTTTTTGTGAAAATTTTAGAACCACCAGGCTCCCGTCATTTTTGCGCACAAATTCTATGTTGCAGTGGAAATACATTTCCACAGCTAATGACAGCGCTGTAACTGATTAATGAAAATTCACTATTAACTTTTTAATCATTCACTTGAGGGCATTTGGTCATGTTGGAAAGTTGTAGTGCATGCATATTTTTGTCATACTCATTTTTTGTGAATCACAAGACTTGCACATAATTCGAACACATTCATCATTGAATTCTAGGAAAGATATCGAAAGTGATTGTACCGGACACATAGGAAATTCGGTGACTCTGTTACGTTAGGCCAAGCTACCCATCATAAGGAAGTGACCAAATCTGAATCGAAGTGCACTAAAGCAGAATCTGGTCAGAAAAATTGGCAAGCGTGCTGATATACAGGTATATATGGCTTACCTTTTTGCGATGCGCCGTGCATACCTTTTTTTTTTTTTTTAACTATTGGTGGGCACGAAAACTATTTCGCTTGTCTGCAAGAAGTGCTGCAATGGCTTCCCTGAACTTTATGCTTGACAGAGGTAGAGGCAGCTTATCTTGCACACAGCTCAAGAGAAACAGATAAGCACCAAACATGTCATGCTAAAGTAAGGCGACCTGCTGGCAAAAGTGGCGGGACCTGCTGCTTTTCTGAAACAGATGCAGCTGCAATGCACCTTAATTCAAATTGTGTCACTTCCCTGTCGTGGCTAGTTCCGATTTGATATAACAGTGTTCATTCCTGCACTCAGGGTGTGATCAGTTTTTGTATTGTTCTTAAAATTCTATGATGAGTATCTCCATTTATATGCAATATTCGTGATTTTAAAGTGGGTATGCCATAAATTCTCATGCAATACAACTTTCTATTATAAACATTGGACTGCAACTCAACAATAAATTAATTAGCTTTTGTTATTTAGCTACATTAGTGGCATTTTAGTTCGAGCAAAGTATTTCCACCTCTACATAATGCTCGTGTGGAAAAACAAGAAAGGCTTTAATATTATAAAAATTAAATTCAAATCCGCATTGTCTAAAAATGCTCTATATTATTTGTGTTTGAGAGTAGGCAAGTAGGGCAATTGTTCCATGTTATTTTGCCATTATGTAAAATTTAAAAGCAATGCTTTTATAAAAACTGCATGGTGCACGTATGTGGCACCTGAACATGATGCTCAATCAGTACATCACTGGCTTTAAATGTCTTAGAAATTAATGATGTGATATTCACATTCAATTTGACGCTTCTGTAATGACTGTACAGGTGCTGGACTTCCTTATGGACGCTTGTGAAGGCGACATGCGAAGAGCAATCACCCTTTTCCAAAGTGTTTCTCGGCTTAAATATAACGAACCTGTAACTGCCCAAGATGTGGCCGAAGTTGCTGGGGTGAGTTGTCATTTCTGTGTTGCATATTTTGTGTTGAGCAGTTTGTGATTGCAGAGCTAGTTTCTGCTTGTCAAACCAAACTGAGTGCTAGGGTTTCTGAATTTCAGACAGTGGGAGGTGTCACGGTATAAGAGTGGCTATAGTGATTGGTTGAGGACATTTTAGGTTTATATGCGTATAACTTAAAATGTTGCAATGGAAGGCGAATTGCAACTCCCTTGTACATCTAGTGCAGTCATCGAGCAAAATTGTGTTCAGAACTCAAGTGGGTACATCTCAAGAGTTTGCAGAAGTAGACATTTCATATTAAAAATTAAAAAAAAAAATACTGAAACAGTTTTACAAAAGCGATACATGACTAATAATGCTGAAAAACCAGTGTGGCGGATGCTGAATTCGGAACTGCACCGTCAAAAGCTGAACCACATTACCGACATTCTTTTGACAGTAACAATAGTTACATTGTAAACATTTCATAGAAAAAGATTCCTTAGGAAAACTTTGACTAAATATATTATGAGTAGTGGATTTGATGTGTGTAGCCATGTGTGTAGCGGGTGATAAGGAGGCGTTACCAGAGTCCCAGCCTAGTCGCCTTCCCTTGTGTAGCATTTTAATACTTTGAAACAAAACATTTATAAACCTGCGTGTTCCCACAAGTAATAAAGATCTCTTGAATGTCCAAGAAAACAGCGAAACTTTCTTATTAAAGAAAATAGTAAAACCACTAGCTATGTTATTTTCATTAGCTTGTAAGAAGCAGTGCAACAAATTTTTAAATGATCAGATTTCTAAGTGACACCTCTGCACACACACTGGAAACAGTTTAGTGAAAAGCCACGAAGTGTATAGCAAAACTTCGTAATAGTCAATTGCCATGTCTGGCATACATGGCGATGAATGACCCGACACTCTAGATACAAGCTTTCAAAGTCTACCTCACATCTTTAGAGCACGATTTAATTCATGTGTGTGTTTCACAAACGTCAGAATGATTCGTTGTGGCCGTTTATGTAGCAGTGAGATGCTTCTATGCAGATCATTCCAAAGCAGTGGGTCGATGACGTGCTTACAAGCTGTGCATCGAACTCGTACGAGAAGCTGAGTGCAACAGTTGAGGTAAGGAACTCAATAGCTGTCATTTTATAAGACAAGAAAGACGTATTTGTACCATAGGCCTAAAGGGGCCCAGCCTTGTTGCACTTCTTGAACTAGGTCAGAAAATGCTGCCATTTCATAGTCGAGGCTCCTGCAAACAAAGAAGCCAAGCATTATAGTGCAGATGGGGCATAATATATACAACTATGTTTCAAAGTCGGCTAGAAATTGCATCCTCTCTTTTTGGCACATCATGCCGTATTCCCAAAGTCAGCGGCTTTATGCATCCAGAGGCACATGAGCACAGCCATTAACTGCCTTGAGCATCGTAAGCTGCATAGTTACCAGTGGCGCAGCCAGGGGGCACTGAGCAGACTATAGCCTCCCCCTCCTCGAAATTTTTTCTTATCAAGTACCTCTGACCAAAACAGCCACTTGTGTATGAAATCATCTGTATTTTTTTGTAAATTCCTTCCCTCAGTTGAAAAGACACTTCGATGTGAACATTGCCGATGCGGCTGGCTGTCCTGGCTGCACCATGGTATCCCTGTAACAGGCTGTGCAGCACATGTCTTTCAAAAATACCGTGGAAACGGAGGCTTAGTGTCTTGGATTGCCATTTTACGATGCAGTTACGGATTAATGGGCTGCGCTCAGCTATGCTAAGTCGTGCTACCACGAATGAGAAACTATTATTGACTAGCTGGATACTTGGAATTATGTTATAGAAACAGCTTTGTGAATACACCGTTGTGGCCAGGACTTGAACATAAGAGTGTTGCATCTTGCTGGCAGAGAGTCCAAAAAGGGGGTGGTCAGATTGACAGCTAGCTAGGAGTACTTCGTTCTCTCTGCCCTTGTACAAACAGTGGGCAGTTTTCGGCAGACTTCTGTGTCTTTTTACCAAATACCTGTCACACTTGGGCGAAAAGTACAGTATATTTCACAATATGCCCATTTTGTTGCCCTGAAAATCACTTTGCAGAAAAGTTGTGCCAAAAATTCATGGCACTGCACTAATTCTTCAGGTAGTTTATGGCCTCCGCAATCAGCTGCTGTTTCTCAGACGAGTGCCACAAAAAGAGTGGAGAAGAAAAAAAAAAGGCTGCGCTCATCAAATCAGTAGGATCAAAAGCCTTTTTACAAATTCACATTGTTGTAGGTGGGGTTTCTGTTGAATCTGTGTTGACTGTGATGTATCACACTACAGCATTGCTTGTAGTTATGACGGCGAGCGGGAGAATGCACTGTTTTTGCCTGCTGGTGTCGCGTTGCATGTGATTTTTTTAAAATGAAGGCGAAAAAGGCGAAATCTAAGGGCTTGTTTTACTTTTATTAGATACAACCTTAAAGGAGTACCAGCTTGAATTAGAGGAATTTTCGTATTATTGCTCCATGTGAAAGCACTGGTGTCAAGAACGCTATTAAGTGTGGTGTGGTTGCTCTGAACAAATTTAATATGTTTTCAATGCCGCTTCATTAAAAGACTCTGTGAAGTTTTTTTTTTCTATGATGAAAATTAATCAGTCGTACTCTGTACAGCTCGTTAGTGTGGTATTATTGTCATGAAGGTGCACAGGTGCATTTATTGGGCGCTTACTTTTCTATGTAGGACCTTGTGCTCGAAGGCTTTGCAGCATCGCAACTTTTTAGCCAGCTGCACGATGCCATTGTGTTGAGCAACAAGTACGATGACAAACAGAAGTCGGCAATAGCAGAGAAGCTTGCTGTAAGTAACTATTGTCATTTCCTCTCGCAAATGTAGTTGTAAACCTTCTGAATGTACAAAAGCCCATGTTCATATTGGCCTGCATTACTTCATCAGCAACTGCTGTACAAGGCATGTCCACAATGTCTGGGACAGAGGTCTCAAACACGTGGCCTGCAGCTCCACAAGGAGTACAATGTTCACGACTTTGTTAAACAGTACTTGCATTATTCGCTCACCTATTGTGATCAAAAATGCTGTGTTTGGGTAAGCTGCGGAGGTTAGACTGGTGTCAAGCATTTTTTTCATAAGGTGCCTCATGGGGCAATCTCTTGTGTTGAAACATAGCCGTGAAAGAGAATCTCTATACTTCACAATCGGCGTCCAGATTTGAGTCATTCTGAAGATCAGTATCAATATTTTTATAGAATCCTGACACTAAATCCTTTGGAAATGATCCATATACGATATGAGAAATGCATTCTCTTTAATAACAGCATTAGGTGGCATTTTGTTCACTCCCTCTTCTCATCTGTCATGGCTCATGGGGAACTTATTTTTGAGTTATTAAAAGAAATTTACTTTCTTAGTGTGCAGGTAACATTTCAGAAAGAAGACAGATAGGACAGAGCACTCTGTCCTATTCGTTTTCTTTCTGAAACGTTCCCTGCACACAGAGAAAGTAAATTTCTTTCAAAAATGCAATACCAACCAGCCTATGTAACCACTCTTCTGCTTAATTTTGAGACTGCCGTTCTCCAGCAGAAACGAGTTTCCGACCTCTGGTTTGGATGTAAAGGGCACATCAGGGTGTGCTAGTAAAGTAGCAAGACTGAGTCGGCAAAAATAATTCATTGATCCAATCGATATAGCTTCCTTGTACAAATTCCGATGCTACAAAGGCTTCTTGAAACTCAGCTGCTGCGACATCATTGGATGCCAGGAACATTGTCGATACTGTGACCTTCCTGGCTTCTCTTGAGGTTTTGGAAACAGGAAGGACTCTGCAATGCTCACATTGATAGCTGTATCATTACTGAATCTGTCATATTTATGCCTGGCAGACTTCCTGTTCTCAATGTTCCACAGAAGCCAGACAGGTAAGCATTTCTATGGCCTTCATGACTGTTGTTGTGATCTATCAAGACCGAAGGAAACTAAGCATTTTAACAATATGTACCAATCATGCAGTGCTCCATGTTGAATGCACAAGTGTCAAGAGTTCAACAAAATAATGAAACCTGTATCATTCTTCACAAACAGATATGCGACCACAGACTGCTTGAAGGTGCCGACGAGTACCTCCAAATTATGGACCTATGTGTCACAATTATGAACCAGCTTTGCAGTGTCCAGCAATGAGTGTTTGTGTAACTGTCACACTAAAAAGAAGTGTGGTTGTGAAAAGTTTGCTTTGTTTCCAAATCGTTTCTAATAAAACGTACAATTAATTGAAGTACACCAAAGATTCAAATTTTATTTACATGAAAGAAAACATAAAACATTAGGTTTAGATAAAAAAATACATCTCGTAAAAGTGGCAGTGGAGTGTGCTGGTTGTGCAGTGCATTGCCACAGGCACGAAAACAAAAGGAATGGGAGGCTTAGCCCTTACCATTCCAAAAAATGCATTCAATCATTGCTGTATGAAGAATGCGTCGGTGCACACATAAAATTGAAAAATGGGAACATACAAGGTATTTCTTGCGGGCTTGTAAAAAGGCTTTAAGCAGACAAGTGACTTGATATTTAGTAGATTGCAAACAGAATCCTTTGAAATACATGATGCACTATGATAAATGTTGCCCCACAACACACTAAGGTTACTAGTTGGTTGTGAATAGAAAAGTTGAACTGAGGAACAAGATCAGTTTCATACATTATTTACAGTCCTTGAGCACTTACTTAAACTGCACCACAAATTAGTAGCGAACTTTGCCAAGACAAAAGTAGCCAACGAAAGACTTGTGCCTCAGACAAAGGTGATCTTGGTTCTAGCCTGGTTGACCTGCCAGACATTGAGTTCCTCATATTCTTCGATGGCTTCCTCAATCTGGTTGGGACGGAATCCACGTGAAGCACAGCGCTCAACGGCATCAGTCATCTTCACAGTCTTGCCTCCAGATTCTGTGACCATGTCTCGGATGAGCGCGAAGATCTTGTCAGTTACTGTCTGGACCCTGGAAGACCAATTATTAGAAAATCTCATTTTCACAGCACGGTGTTTTTCAATTGATAGAACGATGAAAGGGAAACTGCCAAACATATTTTTTTACAGTGCCTCACTTTAAAATGTGCAGTTTAGTTGCTTCACTGTTGCAATAGGCAGAATGTTGACAGCAAATGTTAAAAAGCCAGGGCAGTTGTCCAAAACAAGATATTTATGATGCAACTGAGACAAAGAAGAAAAGCACACAGAGCTTTCAATGCACAGCAAAAGCAAGCTATCTCATAGGGGAAACAAAAAAACAAAAAAAGCTGCGGCACAGCGCTAAAAAGCTGTGGACCCACTCCTGCAATGTCTCGAACTGTGAGACAGCAGTATTTGTAAATAAATAAATAAATATAGACATAAGCATTCACTCTTGTACGGAGAGATCGAAGGGACTCTGATGCATCCATGCCTCTTCTGTATGTAGGCTGTGGAAAGTCGTACACAGGCCAAACTGGTCACTGCGTTAATGATCACCTTAGGGCACATATATAGGTATTAAGAATGACGTAGGTTCACACCTGTTACATTGTGCTTTGCGCAGCTGCACACCACTGTGCTGAGAAACTCGTCTGACAGGAAGAAGCAGGAAAATGTTCACATGTGAAGTACTTAAAGTGCACGCTCAAACCTCATTAACAAAGTTGCATCTTGCACGAAAATAAGTTAGCTATTTCTTCAAATTCGTTATAATGGTTTATTTGTAACACTCTATATATTCCAAGAATACTTTATATTTACTGCGCTCCGGGTTCATTACGTCGAGGTTTGAGTGTAGGGCATACAGTACAAATGTCGGTGTCCCTAAAGTTTTACAAAAGTGAATTCGATGATTTGTGGTGTTTAACGTCCCAAAACCACCATATGATTATGAAAGACGCCGTAGTGGAGGGCTCCGGAAATTTCGACCACCCGGGGTTCTTTATTGTGCACCCAAATCTGAGCACACGGGCCTACAACATTTCCGCCTCCATCGGAAATGCAGCCGCCGCAGCCGGGATTCGATCCCGCGACCTGCGGGTCAACAGCCGAGTACCTTAGCCACTAGACCACCGCGGCGGAGCTACTAAAGTGAATTCCTTTTTTTTTTTAGACAGTGCTGTGCGATAGTTGTGTTTATTGTGCTATGCGATAGCTTGATTGTGCTGCACCCTGAAGGCTCTTGGTCCATATATTTGAAAATTCTACATTTTGGTAATGTGCAGAAAGTAAACTAGTTGAAGGTTGAGGGTTCTGTCCTGCCTTTCCTCATTTCTTCTCCCCTGTCTCAGTAGCGCCACAAACATTTCGTTAGGCTATGCACCAACTTGCCCAATGTTACACTCTCCCTTCTTTTAATCATAATGAGTGAATTAACACAAGTTCAGTTTTGGCCATGCATTGAGGACACATGATGAACTAAACATAGTGCTTAATTTGTGACACCATTTGTTCAAACGTAGGCGCCACAGTTATAACAGTGTGATCACGCTTACCTGCCGCCAGACTCGGTGTGCTGCGCGAGAGAATCTCTTGACATTTCCATGAGACGCATGGCCTCATTAACATCATCTTTTTCGACAACTTCAACCAGTCGAAGCCTAGCCTGCAGCATAAGAAAGGAGAGAAAGTGGGGCGGGGCATTTTACTGAGTCATGCATGTCGCAAGTGAGTGGAAGCTAAGGATAAGCAATTTCAGGACAGTTAGCAATCAGAACAGTTAGGAATCCTTAGATACAAGGCTTCAGTTTTGATGGTTGTCGTTATGTACCTACTATACCTAGAATGATTCGATAGCTCGCTTTGAAATCTTTTTGCTTATTGTCTAGGGTGTATCAAACTTGCCAATTCAGGTGTGGCTATATTTTCTGTTTCTTAGGGACCAAAAGTTTCATTGACACCATATTTACTCACATAATGAACCCATCGCTCACTTTGGTCCTTGGAAATATATATATATATAATGTATCTATTATAGCCAGTGCTATTGGCAATCGAAAAAAAAAAAGAACATTGATCTAATGTTTTAATTATATCACAAATTAACGACACAATAGAAGTCAAAACATAGTTTAACAACCATGCTAAACAGGTGCGAGCGTGGATGACGTCGATCAAGGTTCAAAAGTTGCGCCTTTTGAGGCAGAGTACCACCTGTCGAATGCAAAAGAAACCTCTTTACTTACAGTGCCACACAAGCTCAGCAATGCGAAAACAAAGCGCAATGGAAAGCACCGCCATCCGACGCTGCATTTTTTTTTATCGGACCTGCTGTAGTGAAATTAGGCAGGGCCTGATCAGCCGGTATGCTAGCTACACGGCCAGTTTTAAACTTGGTCAAGCATCTGCTGGAGCATGGAAACCAAGTGGCTGGATGACATTTCGCCATATATCCGTGTGCGTTCGTTACTGGAAAAAACAAGAAGAGCTTTGGGCTACAAAAGAGGTTGGTCGCACAGTTCACGGGCCAAAGCAAGGACAATTTCCCCTTGCAGAGAGAGTGAAGTTCTCTAATAGGTTTAGATTTAGAGCTCTGTAATCCTGCCATTGAATTGAAGGCCAGCAGCGATTGGACGGTGAGTTGCTTAATAGTCATGTGAAATTTTTGCTGTTGTCATTCTCGTGACTTTTTTTTTTTTTTTGCTCTTGCATAGTGAACCCTCGCCCAAATTGGCATCAACTTTTCTTTAAGAACAAAAAAAGTGGGTTGATTACGCATGTACATATGGTATATGTTAAGGTAAGTTGAAGTTCACTCAGGCTTGTAACTAGCCATATTAAAATACTGGACCACTGCACTCAGAATTTTTTTGCAATCAACTCAGAATAGAGAAACCTTCAAAGTTGCAACCAACACAAATTTCTGATTCCAGCGCACACTCTTTTTTATAGGCAAAGCTCCTTAAGGCGTGGTCTGTGCGTCCCCTGTATGTAGCCACCTCTCATTTAGTTCTTTCAGTGTTCACTAGATGCCGGTACCGTCCCCTGTATGTACAATAGGTATAGAAATTACAATAGGTATGATGTTGTGAGAGGAATATGGAAAGGGGTCATGGTTCCTGGTTGACGTTCGGCAATGCGGTCTTGTGCATGAGATCAGAAGTTCAAGCAAGATTAGAAATTAAGCAACGTGGAATAGGTAGGCTTGCCTTAGGAGCTCACGCGAATACACCAAATCAGAGAGTACTAGGTGATATGGGATGGACATCATTTAGGGGAAGGGAAGCTACCAGCAAGATAAAATTTGAGAAGCGATTGAGAGAAATGGGGGAGGAGCGTTGGGCTAGGAAAGTATTCAGCTACTTGTACATGAAGAATGTCGATACAAAATGGAGGAAGTGAACCAGAAAATTGACTGGTAAATACTTAGAAAACAGCAGGGGGCCAAACCAAAAAAAATTATCAATTAATTAAGAAGAAGGTGAAGGAAGCTGAGACCGATATGTGGAGAATCGGCATGATTAAGAAGTCCGCACTAGAGATCTATCGAACTTTTAAGCAGGAAATTGCCAAGGAAAGGATCTATGATAATACTCGGGGTAGTTCTCTACTGTTTGAGGCCAGGGCGGGAGTACTGCGAACCAAGACAAATCGGGCCAAATACGAAGGGGTGGACACGGTATGCAGTGCGCGTGGAGAGGAAGAGGAAACTGCCGAACACTTGATAATGTTCTGTAAAGGACTTCACCCTATAGTTATGAATGTTGGCGCAGAGTTTTTCAAAGCACTGGGATTTAGAGGCAGGGAGGGCAAAATAGACTTTAAGCGGGTAGAATTAACAAGGAGGTTATCTGATTGGTGGCTAAAGTCCAGGCACGAGTGAAAATTAAACCCTTCACTGCAAGGTACGAGTCCTCAACCTGACTATTTGAAGGGAAAAAATAAATAAATCTAGTTTTTGGTTCACTAAGTATTACGGCTTGGTGGCGTTAGCCACCGCCCGATCTAAAGGGTACAGCCATATCAATTCATCCTTCGGGCCCTTAAGGTTGAATAAATGAAATGAAATGAAATCCATGTAGCCACCTCTCGTTTAGTTCTTGCAGTGTTCACTAGATGGCAGTACTTGTAGCTGATGATGAAAAGATGCAAGATGTTATAAACTAGACGATGGCACTTGTAGTTGATGATGAAAGATGAGAGATATTATAAAATAGGAATGATGACACATATGGCGCGTGTCACATAGGCAATAGTTCGATTAAGCGCCGCGACGTACGCTAGGGGGAGCATTGTAAAAAAATCGAGTGGGCAAAATGTACGGAGGATTCATGGTTTGCCAGGTTTACCTCCAGAGCTTTGCCCACTCATCATCATTCACTTTGTGGATATGACGGCACTTTTTCCCACCCAGTCAGCATCGACACTAAACAGGAAATAATAATCAGAAAAGTTCCAATTGAAAGAACACCAGCTCCTGCACTTATCCATGAATCCAATCTTAACACAATTCAACACTGTTGTGCAGCAGAAAGTAATGAAGGCCTGGGGGACCCTGACACAGTTTTGACGATTTTGTACACAGACATTGGGCCAGTAGAACAAGTCCCAATGGTCGTTAACAAACCAACTCAAGCTTTCTGCATAAACTGTGTTTCTTATCAAGCTTTAAAGCTGTGAATCGCAGTAGATGGCTGCGACTCGGCCAACGCGTTTTCAGCCGCCATTCACAGAGCAACATGCTCTGTCCACTTGACGTCACCGTGGCAGCTCATCTGACTGGCCGTGAAACGCGTCACACAGGCCCCGTGAAGGTGGAGCTCTGCCCCAAGCGCTCGAAGGAAGAGTTGAGGTCGAAGGTCAAAGGCGGAGTAGAGCAAGACGGTACCTATTTATTACTCGTAGCTCCATTATTAAGGGCTGTTTTGATTGAATTATGGTGCCACTGTTTTGCTCCAGTAGTGGTCTAATCAAAAACGGAAAGTGAAAAAAGTTTCAGGGACCCTTTATGTTAATACTAAAAGATGCACGACCACCAAGATACTGTTCAGTCAGAAACTGAGTGCTTGTGAATTACACTTGCATCTCTAGAAGGCTTGAGCTTTAGTCTGAAAATTTTGTTTAGTAGATAAGAAGAGGAAAAATCGCAGACACCACAAAAATGCACCACAGCCACAGTCTTCAGATGACGATACCTTAACATTTCTCAATTTCAACTGTGTTTATAAAGTTCTTTTTTGCACAATTCTTCATTCATTACTGAGAACTTAGCCGATTTGGCTCTGGGGCAAATAAACTTTACAGGAAACACTAAAGCAGAGCCCCACTGATATCCTTGAAGAGACCTTAAAGTAAAGATAGACCAGAAAGCTCAAAAATAAGAGACGGAGGGGGGCACCTGAATTGTATTGAACTGCACCTAATTTTAAATGATAAAAAAATGCAATGTTGCCTGATACATTGATTGAGACCAGCAGAAAACGATTCAACAGCCAGGAAGATGCAGCAATGAGGAACTTAGCAGACAAATTCTGCTGTACACAGCTAAAAACCTATTGTAGAATACTCAAGGCATTCACTCACAAATCAATACACTCATACCTCGATATAACAAATGCGGATATAGCGATATATCGGTTATAGCAAAGTGAATGAAGAATAGTCTTGCAATCAATAGCTGCAGTTTTAGGATTATATCTTTATAACAAATTTTTTAATATAACAAAGTTATTTTAGAGTAAGATGCAACTTTGTTATAATGAGGTTTGAATGTATGTACAAAGAAGATCTATAAAAAAGAAATTTTGTGAGAAAGGCATACCAGAGCTGTGGAAAGGCGCAAAATCGCCAGCAGTGTCCTGGGTGACATAAAGGTGGCATCTTTGCTGTTACGTGCTTCTTTGCGCATTTCAACGTATGCGCTCACAATGTAATCGGTCAGTTCCTCAGGAACCACAGGTTGTTTACTCTTACACAGTGCAATGTAACGCCGCATGAGACGCATGTCCAGTGGCTTATGCGTGCCCTGAGGTGGCTCCGAGCAGTTCTTGTGCACAAAGGTGATGTGGTTGGCTAGCCTGAGAAGAGGAACAAACAAAGGGCAATGCACTGAGTCTTGATGATTCAGGCACAAAAAGCAATACAGTTGAACTCCTTTATAAGAGGCATGCTACCAAATGAATCAGCAGTGTGCCTTATGGGTCAAACTATCGAAAGCCAACTGAACAATGTATCCACACACATTCTAGTCTCCCAGTCACAATAATACACGATAATTGTTATTTCTGCCATATTTGGCACTACAGCATATACCAGATACAAATGTTCAAATAACTGTTACACAAGCTAAACACACACCTCAGGTCATTATCTCGGTCAGGTTTGTCTTGTATGAGCCACAACAGGTCAAAACGTGACAGAAGTGCAGCAGGCAGTTGGACATTCTGCTCAATGGAGCGTTTTGGGTTGTAGCGACCGTATGCAGGATTGGCTGCAGCCAAAATAGATGTGCGCGCATTCAGAGTAGTCATAATGCCAGCCTGCGACAAGCAAGAAATAAAAAGCATAAGATACCACTGTTAGAGTAGGCCTTCAATTGTAATTTACACTTAATGCGACCCCAGGCCCCGTGAAGGGTATTGAAGGACCCCAGGATATTGTTCCATTCTTATAAGTAGTCATAACTACGACAACGAGCAACATACCAACTTGTGTCGTAATGTTTACTGTTTCTCAAAGTCACAGCAGCATCATTGCTTTGCATCTATAACACTTAAGTTGTAAATGTTAAAAATCACAGCGGCAAACAATGAGCATCACGTGAAAGCGTCACAGATAGCTAAAATTTGTGATGACACGTCACGTCATATCGTTGCTTGGTCAAAGGTGGACCAGTCTCTGAGGCAGCGCAATCAAAATGAAAAGCAGTAAGCTCACAATGCCTTCTGGAGGCATTACGAAATCACTTTCTGTGCAAAAAGCTTTCAGAGAGGGGTGCAAGGGGGTTCAGTACATCGACATAGAAAACGAAAGACGATGGCTTTTGGCTGGAGTCGACTGAGGCAGATGGATAAGAGACCCTGAGTGTCATAAAAACACCAGTGTTCAGCTATATGTGGCAAAAGCAGCAGATATTTTCTAGCATGGTCAAGCAGAAAGTACGAATTTTTGAATATAGCAGTTTTAATTATACAGGCTTGTGTGAATATCCAAATTTCCTTCTATACGAGTTTAAATTATTGAAAATTTTAAAGTATTTGCAATGAACGAATAGCTGTATATTAGTCTGCATGTAACCTCTTGTAAAGGTGGTCTCTGAAATGTAGGGGTGGTAAGCCGTGAAAGCACCTACACAGAGGAAATCCTCTCTGCCGCGAAGCCCTACTTAAAATTCAAAGGGGCCCAACAGTTTTTGAGCATGGTCAGAAAATGCTGCCGATTGGTAGTCCAGGCAATCGTGAACACGCGAGCCAAAAATTAGAGCGCAGCACACGACCTGGAATTTAAAATAAATTCTCGAAGTCGGATGAAAATTTCTTCCTGTTTTTGACCAACGACGCCACTAGCTAAAAATCACTTGTCACTGCCATTGGCTGATTTGAGCATGGTCCGCTCGGTTGTCACTAGGGCTGGTGCGGAGGCCGCGACTTGTCCACACATACGTGGGCGATCGCACTAAAAAGCCACTCATTCGAAGAAAAAAAATAAGTCACAGTTTCGCCGCACAAGCGAAGCAATGAATGTGACAGTGAGAACTGGGAAAGTAACACCCAGAACGGCAAGCAGACCGAAATGTGCAGTATGCTGCTGATGCACAAATTAGGCACGAAAACAACTCACACAGGACGAGAGAGAACTAACAATGTTTACAGCTCGACACTTAACACGCTGTTTTAAAAAAATCGATGCACAAAACGTAATCACAGGTACTGATGAGTGTAAACTAACAAGTGTCCCAGTTGTTACTTTGCAGCGTATGAAAAGTGCGCTTTTTTTTGCAAGGGGGGCCTGTGCAGTGAGCGAAGTGACCTTTGTGGGCCCGGCAATTACAATTACCCAATTAGTATTATGCAACAATGCTGCTTTTATGCGGTAGTCCTAAATGCCCAGAAAATTGGCAGAGCTACTGAACATCCTCCCCATAATGCCAAGTTCTACCTAGCACACAAAAATTTTTGACGTAAAAGTGCTATAAGAATTTTAAACATCTTGCCAGTGATAAAGGCAACTTTTACTTTTTGGAGCAGCCACAAGTGGTTTTGTAGCAGGCAAAATGATAGTTTAGAGCAGCTATTGGTGCTTTAGGAGCGAATTACAAAATATGCCATACAACTCCCCGAAATCAAAAAATCACAAGTGTCATATATAAATAATAATGCTTTTTATGAAAAATGTTTCACAGCCTATAATCAACATAAATTACAAGAAAGTAATAATTAAGTTGCTTGCTGAATGTCAATTGTATGAGCTATATAATTAATATTGTCCCTGCCAATTTTACATATCAGCCGGCATGTGAAATTGAAAATAGCTAAATTAACTGAAAGCTTGATATGCCAGTTCTTGTTGCAAAAATAAGAGCCAACAAAGTTGCATATTGGCATGGTAAAACGATAGTATACAAATTGTTTTACCTTTCTTTAGGGCTTGCAGGTGTGCCACAGTTAAAGTTGCTTATTTTCACTTTTCTGAGTGCCATTTTGGAGCAAGTTCAGAGCAATTACTAACAAAAACCACAATTCGAAGCAGCACTCACATCACTGTCTTGCCTAGTATCAAGTATCATAGCTTGATAAAATATTTGTTGCACAACTGACACTAGCAAGGAACACTCTGCTAAAGTAGCATAGGTTGTCGACAGGATGCTTCTAAGCTAACTCAGCAATTATAAAACAAGCATAGAACTGCTTCACCGTCAATGACTGCAGATATGACACGGAGATAACTGCACCTTTGCAATGGAGATGGTCTGTTGCTCCATGACCTCATGTATTGCAGTTCGATCACTGTCCATCATTTTGTCAAACTCATCAATACAACAGACGCCACGATCTGCTAGCACAAGTGCACCTCCTTCAAGTGTCATTTCACCAGTGAGGGGGTCCTTCATCACTGATGCTGTGAGACCAACACCAGATGAGCCACGACCTGTTGTATACTGGCCTGGAAATAAAAACAGAGAAGCATGTTGTAGGCTCTCTTTCTGGCAACCAAGAGAGCAACTGGAAAATCCACTGTGTAGAAACATGCTGTTAAAGTTGTGATCAATAGATACCACTTAGCTACACCGAGCAGTGCAGTGCCACTCGCACAAACCAAACAATTCTGACAGCGCGAACACAAGATGTTGGATGTAACCATGTGAACAATAACAGAGCACACCTTGTCACAGTCCTCTCACACAACTGCTAAAACAGGTCGCCCAAGCACTAAAGTAACTACCACATGTGCAGCCGGTGGAAAATGCACCCATTGAAAGTGTTAGATACTATGTGGCATACAGTGGGACCTTGATTATATGACTTCGAGGGGACCACAAAACAGCTATATAATCCGAGCATACTGCAACCGAAAAACTAGGAATATGGGCAGCAACAGTCAGTCTTGCCCAAAAAAATAGGTGCAGGCTGCCTGAATAAGCCCATAGAACAACCCCAGACTTTTCCAGAAATAGTAGATAACTTCATATTTTTTTTTAGTTAAGGCAGCTTGTATTAGTTGTGTTAAGCCTGAAGGAAGTACAAAGCTGGGTAGCCTTTTTTGTTTCTCTTCATTTTTTTTTGTATTTTCTCAGCATTCTTTTTTTGTTATTTCTCATTTTTTTTCCCCAGTGTTTTGCCCGTGTGTATATACGGTTTAACTTATTTGTGACAAACCTCCTTATAACGAATTTCTCGATATTGTCAGATATTGTCCCGAGACTTCAGAAGTGCAAGGGGCTTTTAATTAGCCAAGATGTAGCCAGCTCTTGAAAAGTGTGTCCGTCGCGGCTGGATCTCAAGCGAAGAAGACGCACGCGAACTTCTTTTCTTTTTTTAGGGTGAGAACCGCTATTGCTCCCAACCCATTATTTGAAGGTTGCATTATCCCCCTTTCGAAAAAAACAAAAGAAAAGATGAAAGAGATGAAAAGAAACAACACAGCATTGCCCCGATGCTATAACATAGAGGCGTGAAGGAAAAAAAAAAGAAAATAGAAATCCCAGATAAACGGAAAGTAAAAAATAAAGATCGTGACAATTAGAAAAATGTCAATGAACGAGCAAGAAAGTTTACGAAAATGAATAAAGAACACAAAGACCGGTGAATGATTAAAAAAAAAAAGAAAATTACAAACGCACAATGAATGGTTTCATGCGCACAACATGAATGACGTCTGGGCTCAGTCGTGTGCTGGTCCGTGCCTGCAGTGTTGTCGAGTCTGGGACCGCTTCGTAGCTAACGTCACTGATGCGGCGTAACACTTTGTATGGACCGAAATACCGGCTAAGCAGCTTTTCACAGAGACCTCGGCGGCGAACAGGTGCCCACACCCAAACTTAATCTCCGGGGTTGTAGACCATGTCCCTGTGGCAGGTATTATAGCATGGTGCGCCTGCTTGCTGCTGCTGGCCGATGTGCAGTCGTGCAAGCTGTTGAGCTGCCTCGGCACTCTTTGCGAACTCCTCGGCGTCATTTGCCAACTCATCATTGTCTTGACATTGTAGCATGAAGGCAAGCATAGTCTGCACTTCGCGGCCGCAGAGAAGCCGACATGGCACGAATCCCATGGTCTTTTGCAGGGCAGTGTTATACGCAAAGGTCACAGAAAGCAAGATCCAGTCCGATGTCTTGTGCTGTACATCGATGTACATAGTGATCATGCCTGCGAGTGTCTTATTCAGCCGCTCAGCAAGCCCGTTCATTTGTGGATGGTACGCGGTTGTCTTTCGATGCCTGGTGTTTCTTGGTTCAAAAACTTCTTCGATAAGCTGTGCCATGAATGCCGTGCCTCTGTGTCACGACACTAGAAGGTGCACCGTGATAAACACCATGCGGTGCATGAAAAATTGCGCTACCTTAGAGGACGTAGCTCGTGAGATCGCCTGTGTCTCAGCGTAGCGTGTTAAATAATCGGCCGCTACGATCACCCATTTGTTGCCGTCAGAAGACAGGGGAAATGGGCCGAGAATGTCCATGCCAACTTGTTCGAACAGCGTACAAGCTGTTTCAATTGGCTGAAATAAGCCAGCCGGCTTAACAGATGGTTGCTTTCGGCGACAGCCTTTGACGTACTGTTTGACGCATGTCAAAAGTCTAGGCCAATAGTACTTCTCGCTCACTCTGGCAAGTGTACGTGAGTAGCCTAGGTGGCCAGACGTGGGTTCGTCATGCCAAGCGAAGAGGACGTCGCCTCGCATGTACCGAGGAACCACCAGGAGGTAGGCATGGTCGTTCGAACGTGCGCTCTTCTTGTATAGCACGCCGTCTCGCAGGCAAAACGACGTCGACGAGCCTGAGAGATAACGTGGTATGGTTGTGTCGTGGCCCTCCAAGTCATCAATGATTGGTCGAATTTTATTGTCGTCTGCTCGGGTCCGACGAGCGAATGGCTCCCAGAAAGCCTTTCTCATCCTCTGCTCCCTGACTGACGAGACGAAGCGGTGCACGCGACAGTGTGTCAGCGTTTTCATGCTAACAGCCGGACTTATAAACGATGGTGACATCAAATTCCTGCAGCCTCAAGCTTCACCGTGCTAGTCGTCCTGAAGGGTCTCGCATGTTTGCCGACCAACAGAGGGCGTGGTGGTCTGTCACTATCTTGAAGGGACGACCGTAAAGGTACGGGCGAAACTTGGTGATTGCCAACACTACTGCGAGGCACTCTTTCTCCATAGTGGAATAATTCACCTCGGCACGAGATAGGGAGCGACTGACGTAAGCTATGAATCTTTCGATGCCATTTTGACGCTGAACTAGCACTGCACTGAGACCAACGTTGCTGGCGACAGTATGCATCCCGTGTCAGCATAATCGTCTAAAGGAGCGAGAACGGGCGCTGATTGCATGTGCGGTCGCAGTTCATCAAATGCTGCTTGTTGCTCGTTTTCCCACACAAACGAGTCAGGGGTTCCGCTATCCGTGAAAAGCCGTCAATGAACATGCGATAGTAGGCACACAAACCAAGAAAGCGCCGGAGGGCCTTCTTATCGACAGGAGCTGAAAATACGGCAACAGCGGCAAATTTGCTTGGATGAAGACGGACTCCTTCGGCGCTCACTGCATGCCCAAGAAAAGCGAGTTCCTCATGAGAAAAGTGGCACTTCTGTGACTTTAGTGTGAGGTTCGCCGATCGGATAGCCTCTATCACACTACGCAAGCGGTGAAGATGCTGCTCGAACGTGGCAGAAAAGACCACCACATTGTCAAGGTACACAAGACAAGTCTGTCACTTCAACCCTGTGAGGACAGTGTCTATCATTCGCTGGAAGGCTGCCGACGCTGAACTCAAGCCAAAAGGAAGCACCAAAAATTGATAGAAGCCATCTGGAGTCACGAAGGCTGTTTTCTCGCGGTCTCGCTCATCTACCTCAATTGGCCAATACCCACTTTTCAAATCCAGAGAAGACAGATATTGGGAATGGCGAAGTCTATCCAATGAGTCCTTGGTACGCGGCAGCGGGTACACGTCCTTTTTGGCCACGTTGTTAAGCTTCCAGTAGTCGACACAAAAGCGTAGTGTCCCATCTTTCTTTTTGACCAGGACAACCGGAGACGACCGAGGCTGTTGGATGGTTCGATGACACCATCTGCAAGCATCTCGGACTTGCGTACGTAACGCTTCGCGTTCTTTTATCGACACACGGTAAGGATGCTGGTTGATCAGGCGTGCGTCGTTGTACGTGATTATTCTGTGCTGTGGGATGGATGTCTGGCGCACCTTAGATGAACTTGCGAAGCAGGACCGGAATTAACAAAGAAGAGCGTGTGCAGTGCAGTCTGGTTACTGATCGACAGCGCAGGATTAATGTCGATATTACCGAATGCTGTGTCTGTGGCATCGGTGTCTTCCGACGCGAAACAGTTGTCAATTTCTTCTATTGCGCTGGCAAAAGCGATAGAAGTGCCGCGAAAGAGGTGTCGGTGCTCATTGCTAAAGCTGGTAACAAGCAACTGTGATCGGCCACTACGAAGCTGTATGACACTTCTGGCTACACAAATGTCTTGTTTCAAAAGGTGCTCTAAGTTCGTTTCGGCCGCTGCTATGCCGGCGGTTAGGCCGGCAATTGGAAGTACGCCAAATATCTAACTTCCGAGGGGACGTGCACCTATCATCGACGTAATGAACCGGCTGCTCCGAATAACGGCCACCTGGGGCGGCACGGACAAATGATGGCGACGCATACCTATTGTCTAATACTCAGTTGGCTGCGCCAACTGGAGCGACACGGTGGGAGGAGCGCGAACTAACAATGGCGAAGAGGCCGCAGGCCATTTTAAGGCTTCTGCATAGGCGGTCGTCTCACAGCAGTATTCAATGGGGGCTGGCGCGGAGGTTACAGGAGGCGAGGGGCCCCGTAGTGCCTGGTGCAGCTCTTCTCTGAGATGACATGCCGGCCTTCTGCAGCTCTTCGCGCACCACAGAACGAATAAGTTTACCGTAGGCTGTCACTGAATCCAAGTTGTGGCAAGAAATCCACAGCGCACATGCCATTTATTTGTCTGTCATACATGCTGGAACATTGCTGCAGCATCTTTTCCATTGTCACAGCCTCTGCCAAGAACTCCGCGACGGTCTTAGGAGGGCTCTGCACGAGGCCGGCAAAGAGCTCCTCTTTAACACCACGCATCACGTGGTGCAACTTTTTATCCTCCGGCATTCGTGGGTCAGCTCATCGGAAGAGGCATGTCATGTCTTCCCTGTAAATAGTAATCGTTTCATCTCACAACTGGACACAGACCTGAATCACTCATTCCGCTAGTTCTTGACGATCGGCACTTGTATAGGTCTCCAGAAGCCTACGACGGAACTCGTGCCACAACGTCAGGTGTTCCTCGGGATTCTGGTAAGACGTACACACCCAGACCTCCGGGTTAAGGTAGACTCATTCCAGTTTGGCCGCGTCGTCCCATTGATTCAAGGCGGCTACGCGCTCGAAATCGGCTAGCCAGTCTTCGTGCTCCGTGCCCCGGAACGTAGTCGGGACCCGGGGATTCTCCAACGTATACGGGTTCGGAATCGCGGTTCTTGTGTCGGTTGAAGCTGTTTGAACCGAAGCACCAGTCATACCTATTGAAGTGGTATGATCCGTGTCGTTGACTTCCGAAGGCAATTCCCTCATTCAGCGGCTGGTTCAATGCACTGAGGTGTTAACTGGGACTGGACTCATAGGGCGACTCCCTGGAGGGGTCTGCAACATCCGCGAGGGCTACCCAGCAGCTCCACCAGTTTGTCACGAGACTTCAGAAGTGCAAGGGTCTTTTAAATAGCCAAGATGTAGCCAGCTCTTGAAAAGCGCGTCCATCGCGGCTGGATCTCGAGCGAAGAAGACGTATGCGATCTTCTTTTCTTTTTCAGGGTGAGAGCAACTTTTGCTCCTAACCCATTACATGCAGGTAGCAATATAAAGAAGTCTTTTTATTTCCCGTCATTGTACCATGGAAGCACATATATTCGCGACCTCTATGTAACAAAGTAGCAGCAGTAGACGACCTAGGTATAACGAATTTTGCTCACGGACAATCTAGAATGTTTTCCCAGATTTTGTCCTTTTGACATGAGCATGCATCTTCTGTGGGCACCCCGCCGGTGCTACCGTCGCGCTGGTGGCCCCGGCAACAACCAGGCGAGAGCAAGCGCTCATGCAGGCGGGCCCGAGCACCACGAGCCGGCGTTGCCGCCGTTATTGCCGCTGCAGGAGCATGCGCAGGTGTGCCCCCCCCCCACCCCATAGGCGTATCAGCCGAGAGAGAGGGGGGGGGGGGAGCAGAGCCCCACCACTGAGAAAAGTTAGGGGGGGGCAGAGCCACCCTCCCACTTTTGACAGTGGTCACTGTTGGCTGCACGCTAAGGAAACCAACAACTAAGGCGAAGCCTTCCTTCACCAGAGTAATCACTCAGTTATTGTAATGGGGAATAAAAATGTTACGAAGAAATGTAACAAGCATGTGAAAATTTTCCAACACTTCTGCTGTGACCATTTTCCTTGTAGGCTCTTAGCCGTGTGAGCTGCCTATGCTATGCGAGCTGCCTATGCGAAGGCAACAGATTCGGAGCTGCAAATGGAGAGTCGGTGCAGCGAACGAGCAGTGATGCCACCAATCAACTTTCAGGGCGGCTTCAGCAGTGTCGTGTTCTCGGAAAAGTATTTTTGCAACAGTACACTGTAGAAATGATGCAAGCTCTGCATAGAAAATTATGTTTACGGTGTCAAGGAAACTGTATGGCAGCAACTCACATTCCAAGATTGCAGCCAAATGCCAGTATTTCCTTCTCAGTATTTCAATTTTTTTTTCAGTATTACCTTCTTGCTAACAAGTTAAAAACAGTGTGTGTAGGCCACGCCACCGTGGTCTAGTGTCTAAGGTACTCGGCTGCTGACCCACATGTTGCGGGATCGAATATTGGCTGCAGCGGCTGCACTTTCGATTGAGGACAAAATGTTGTAGGCCTGTGTGCTCAGATTTCGGTGCACGTTAATGAACCCCACGTGGTCGAAATTTCCAGAGAATTCACTACGGCGTCTTCATAATCATATGATGGATTTGGGACATTAACTCCACATATCAATCAATCAACTACCGTATTTACTCGATTCTACCGCACCCTCGATTGTAACGCGCACTCAGTTTTCACGACGAAAAACAAAAAAAGTAAGACATCGATTGCAACGCGCACCCATTTTTCTCGTTGGCCCGCACGATCACACTACTCAGAAAAACGACTCCTTTCGGGAGCGTCTTCCGTTTAAATATGAGGTGCGGGGAAAGCTTGTACCTATCTGACGTGCAACGGAGCATTGCCATCCCTCTTGTTTTACCGTAGCCTGATGTCAGCATGCGAACTTGCTTCGCCGCCTCCTTCTCGACGGTTGTGGTGCCAGGCATGTCGAAGTAAAGAGGCGTCTGATCGGCATTTCTCATTTGCCCAAGCAGGTAGCCGTTGTTGTGCCGCAAGTTTAGGACGAAACCTCTGAAAACTGTGAAGCTTTTCTTCGTACTCCTCCGGCAAGTTTTGGCGCATGCCCGTTCGCTTTCGGAGGGAAAAGCCTTTCCTCTTCGTAAAGATAGTTAGCCAGCACCTGCTCGCTTTGAACTGGCTCCGCGTTGGCCCTTTTTCTAAAGCTAACTGCATAGCCCGCACATAGAGCAGTTCTGTCGTCACGGGCCGCTGTGCCGCTCGCTGCTTAAGCTACATACTCGGCGAGCAGCTCTTCAATTTGCGGAAACCAACCCTGCTGTGGTCCACTGAAGCCTTTGCATGAATCTTTGACAATCTTCTGCTTTTGTTTCCACCAGTCCAACACGCACGTTTCGAGAGCTCCGAACGACCGCGATGCGGCCCGATTTCCGTCTGTTTCGGCACATGCGATGACTTTTTTTTTAAAAGCGGCATCGTGGTGTACTTCCTCGAGTTTCTGGAGTCTGCCCTTCCATGCCGTCGATGCTAATGAGCTACAAGATGACGAACTCCTCAGCACACGTACGAGGTGCCGCACATGGGAAACACATAGGCAGAAATGACCGATGCGCCATGCCGAAGCACGTAGGGGGCGGCTATTTTGGAAATGCCGATGGCAATAGAATGACCGTATTCACTTTTTTTTTTTCGCACTCGATTTTAACGCGCATGCGATTTATGAACTCGCTTAACCGGAAAAAAAGGTGCGCGTTAGATTCGAGTAATTATGGTATGTACATCGAAATCAAATGTGCCATTCTCAGTGTGAAGCTGTCACGTGATTGCAAAGCAAATATTTTCTTGTTTTACAGATCTAGCGGCGCCGCCACTCTTTCTCATATGGCCTCAACGGTATTGATGTTCAGGTGGCACCCCTTTTTAATATAGCACATTAAACGCAACAATACCTTCCTTTCCTTTTTTTTCTTTTCAGAGGGCTGGGGGGGGGGGGGGGGGGGGCAGCCCTTTTCGTGCATTCGACCGCAGTAGCCATTGTCGGCCTACTATGCGTTTTGAAACAAGGCCACCAGGGCGGTGCAATGTGTTAAAACAAACACTGGCGCTGGAAGCCTATGGCCTTTATTGAGAAGCTTTGCAGCGGTTGCCTGGGTACATAAGAATAAAACTGCTAATCCTTCCATTAAAGATGGTTTACCATAGTGGGGTACCGCTGTAGTAAAGCATTAGAAAAAAGAGAGAGAGGCACGCAGAGTGGTATTTGTACATCTTTGCCCTTCTTTGTCAATGTTAGCGGGTGGCGTACATGTACGTCTTTGACCACAAAGCGTTAAAGCTCAATGTGGCTAAATGGTCAATGAATGTAATGGATAGCACAGCTCTTATCAAGAAAAGTGCTTTGGCTTACTTCTTGGAGCCAGTCGATCAATGTAAGACAGCAACTGTGATTTGGCCACTCCAGGGTCCCCCATTAGACAAATGTTGATGTTGCCTAGATGCAATGAGAAAAGAAAAAGGCATCTGAAATCGCAATAAACACTGATATTCCTATTAATATTTTTGCCTCACAGAGGCATGTACACAAACACACCTAAAGTGTGAGATTAAAATCAGAACTCACCTCGAATTTTCATGCCATTTGGGTGGCGATCAATGCCTCCCACAAGCAGAAGGAGGAGTGCTTTTTTGACATCTTCATGCCCATATATCTCAGGTGCTATGCTGCCAGCAAGCTTGGCATAGAAGTCCGGCTCTGATCAAATTTACAAAAAAGAGGGGGGAAGAAAAAAGAGAAAATCTAACTTTCAAATCTCACTATACCAACAACTATATTAACTTCAGGAGAATGAAAATATCTCAGCAACAGACATCTAGCAAGTAATTAATTTCACGAGGTATGTTAACCAGTCTTCAAATCTTGTTCACAAGAAACAATCTCTGGTGATACACTCAAACCTCAATATAACGGACCTGGATATAACAAAATGTCGGTTATAACGAAGTAAACGAAGAATACTCTTGTAATAGATATAGTTAGAAATACTATACATTTACAACGAATTTTTTGATATATAACAAACTTATTTTCGTGCAAGATACGACTGTTATAATGAGGTATGAGTGTATAAATATTTTTTCAGTTTGGCGTAATGTCAAGGCAAGTTATAATTAATGTTCTGTAAGATTGAACCAATGTAAAGAGATATAAAATTAAAGCAACAAACATTCTAATACCTATCACTAAAGTAGAGCTTTTGACTAGCTATATTGCAATATACAGTAGACTCTCATTAAACGGAACCTAAACGGACCAGAAAAATATGCATCATTTAACAGGAGTTCTGTTCACTGAGAGATGAATAAGGGTACAGTATGCAGGGACCGAACCAATCATATCAGAGTCAATTTTTCTAATTAAGCAGCAGTTCCGTTTAACAGGTTGAAGTTTGCCGAGAGTCTACAGTATACAGTCGGAACCTCTTTATGAAAGACACTGATGTAAGAGACACCAGAGAGCCTACACTAAAATACGGGTTTATAGGAAAATGCATACTTGGCACCCAGCTTGCAAGAGACATCTCGTATAAAAGACAAGAATTGTCATATGGAAGCATTCCTCTTATAAAGGGGTTTAACTGCACTACTACTAAGTAGACTGACTGTTTATTGTTTACTTGGAGAAGGATTCATTATGTTTCTTACAGCTTCATATGAAATAATGTGTTGTGGTGGGAAGAACAGTCTTTTTCAATGGAGTGGTTCTTTTAGGTGTCCTAAAAAAGGAACCCGATTTCAGACACCGATTTTTTCTATATCTATGTTGATGACATCATCCATATGCAAATAAAAGCAACTATTTATATGCCGATGACACCAGCTTGTTCTTTGCTGGTTTACAAGTACTTATAAAAGTAAGATTAGTCAAGCCACAACAGCCTTAAAGTTGACTAGCAACTTCAAAACCACCTCGCTCTAGCTCTAGGAGAAAACAGGTGCCTAAGTAAAAGACTGTTGCCTTATCTTTTGACATTGGGGCTGTTTGTAACTGCACAGCACTTGGTACTATTTTAAATTTATAAATGAATTTAAAAAATCATGTAGACATGCTTATGTGTGAGTGGAGCATACGTACTATAAGACGGTTGTCCTGGCCTCAGCAAAAAGTAGCAGTAATGTTATCAAGGAAATACTATTTACCTTCCTCATAAACAAGTGCTCCCACATTTGTGACACTGATATGACAACAAACATGCAGAAACATTTTCTTTATCAGAAAAATGCATACCAAATTATGGCAAATATTACGTACTTCCACAAAACAGCAGCGCAACTTATGCTTACTCAAACATTATACGTTTCGTACAAATGACATAATTTGTGGGTGCCATTTCATACCCGAGAGTGCCTCCAGCTCCTCAGGTGTCATCATACTGTCATCCAGCTCATCATCCTCCATCTTATTCATCTTGATAATTCTCTGCATTATAAAAATAATGGAAGAGTGAGAATGCAGGTATCATGCAACATTTTTTAGTTCACCAAAATTAGATCCAAGGTGAGCAATGTTTCTTCAAACATGTGGAAGAAACCACCATGAAAATATGCAGATAAGAAAAGGTCATGATAATAGCAGATCCATATAACAGAAGGAAGACAGAGAAATAATGATTGAGAGCCACGTCACGGTTTTCAGCAAAGGCGAGGTCACTTAACTGCAACATGAAGCTGAACAGTCGGAACAGAAGCCTACACACTTCCAGCCTTTCATCCTTGCAACAAGGTAAACGCCTAGTCGACATGATTTGTCTTTACTTTGCAAGTTTGCCATTATGCCAATACAATACCCGTTTTACTGAGCAAGGAGAGAATCAACACAGGCAACAATGACAGCCTTAAAAAGTGACTTTTTCACATCTCAGATGTTCACACCTGATGCTCACACAGAGACCAGTTTGGTCTAATGGCACATCTTTCATAATACTGTAAAAATCCACGTATAGTCTGGACCCGCACATAGCTTGAGGTGCATTTTGGAGATAGCAAACAGGAGAACAAAGTTTTGATCTTAATAAAGCCCGAGCAAAAGAGAAACTAAAAACATTTATTCACACACTAACTTATCACTGTTAGACGCATTTTATTCCAAAGCTCCCTCATCAGAGATGTCCTCCTACAGCACCTTATCTTCAAGGCCATCAAAGTTGTTCAGAATCGAACTCCTCAAAGGCTAGATAAATGAGCACTTCTGGAATGCAGACACGAGCTTCGGCGATCTGTGTGCACAGTGTCACTGGCGAGGTCCGTTTCAGCCGTCCAGGAGGGGTCATTCTTGTCCTCATCCACTCCATACACATGCGCTTAACGGTTTACCTGGTACGCACACATCAGGCGGCTGCAGCCGTGATGTCATTCTGGGGGGATGACAAGTTCGGCGTGCAGGAGCCGTGCAGTAGGTTGCTTCACAGCGTTTACACCGAAACGTGTCGAGCACAAGTATCAATGGAAGCCCTAGCAATGATCTTCTGATCCCAAACAAAGGCAATTCTCATCTAGCATCGAAAAACGTTCAATTTTTCGGCCCATGAAAACTTATCAGGTCGTGTGCATAAAGGGAGCTTCCTTCTGTTTTCTGCAGCTGTGAATGCTTCACTCGTCTACGCCAAACAAACACCCCGCAGTGCAGTTGTCGATGGTTTTGGAAGTCGAGATTAGATCACCTTGCTTCTAAAGAAAGCCGAATACGCCCAGGCCTGATGATGATGACAGTATCACTCAATGCAGAAACTGAATTATTTGCTGAAAATTGTCGGAATCAACATTTAGTCCGAGGCCGAAATTTCGAACCATAATAATTAGAGAGCGAGAGAAAAAAAACTGTTTATAAAGTGGGCTTTCACAGTAGAGTGATACACCTTGGTAGCATTGCAATTGATGTAGGTACAATATTTACTGTATTTATAAAAGTGAACTCTGGATGCAACGAATCTCAAGGGACTGATGAAGATCATTCATTATTTTGAAAAGTCATTGCAGTGAAAGTATAATATATGCAAAGTCTGTGAACACAACCACATGAGTTGCCTACCGTTGCTGTGTATGCATTCATGACCGCGGTATGCTATAATAAGCGTGAAATAACAAACAAACATGAAATAGTATGGAACCAGTGCACGTTCAGTTGAGGAAGAGTGCAATGTATCTTGATGTGGGCAGCTCGACTTCTGAAAGACGAAACTCCTAAGTGTGCGCATCCTTCCTACACACTGCGAAGCATTGGCATTATACTATACCAATTCTTCACATTGGTTCGCGCATGCTGTTCCAAGGTTGTCTTTGCCCTAGTCCTGTTTCCTTATCACGACAAGTGGTATGAATTTTATTGCTCGTCGGCTAAGCTCACGTACATGCTTCTTCGTCGCATTGTGCGTAGTGTTCGATTAGAGACTTCAACCCATATGTCGCTCGCGTTGCATTTTTTACTGTCATTCCTTTCGTGCGGCTTCCGGGGCTCATTTTGAACGTTCAAATATCAACCAAAAAGCTAGAAAACAGTTGTGTAATAAGCACGGAGGTAAAGCTGCCCTACGAAAACAAAGGCAATGAAAGACAAGTACCAGGTGACGATGGGCTTTTCAAATGGGCGATAATGGGCTATCGCCCATTTGAAAAGGGCGAGCACAGAGAATATGCGGGCATTCTAATAATGATGATAGCGGCAGGTACAGAGCTGGCCATTATTTCTAGAGCCACAAGTAACATTTAAAAATGTTTAATTGTTATTTTGAAGTGTTGTGGAGATATAAGGGGGATAAAATTCGATACGCTATTCTGAAACATTCGGTATTTTGAAATTTGTAGTAGTGAAATATTTTTACATTAAACTAATTGACATTTGGTGGGGGAATTTCAAAAGAGTCGTTAATCTGAAGAAATTGTTATTCTGTGGTTCGCAATAACGAGATTTCACAGTATGACATTGTCAATACTATTAGGCGAGTTTGCAGTTACAGTACCCAAAAGAAAAATCTAAGTATGCCCACACTTTATGGATGTTTTCATAACTGCTCTCTGCCAGCTATCGAGGAAGCACTTGGTTCTTCTATTGAGAAGATCTATTGCATTCACTTTGCTTTAGCGTGATGGTCAAGATATCAGGTTTGCAGACATTCAGTGCAGAGTTTCATGATGTCTGTGAATATAAAGCCCACTCCCTTCGCAGTACTTGTCTGCTATGACTTAGCACTCCTACCTGTCTGCCAATGTCCCGTCATTTTTGCTTCACCCTATAATTGTTTCAAGTAATGGAATATCTAATAGCCCAAACTGTCACCCTCATATTTGGTATAAATGAATTTAAAAGATTGTATCTCCCAGGCTTTTCTTTTTTTTTTTTTGGAAACCCTTTGCAGAGTATTGCAGGTCATTTTGTACTCAAATATTGCAATGTGACAAATTCTCATTAGAATCTGGTTCAAATAAAAACGCCAGGCCTGCGCAGAAGGCATAGCGCAGTCACAGCGAAAGCTAGAAGGCCTTTCAGAGACTTTTCTAACCGCTCATTGGGTAGCTGCTGCAAACACGCTTCCTTGATGCCCAATATGGTATTAATAAAAATTTTGGAGTAGTTGGCCAGCATTCGCTATGCTATTTTTTCGTCATTCTTCTGAGAAGCGTGGTATCCGCCAAATCATTGCAAGGAATTTAGTGCCAAATTCAGTGGCTGACGACGATAAGGAATTATGCCTGAAGTGGGTATGCGCTACAGTAAATAGCTGAACAAAAACAAGCTACTTTTTACGCTATTCGCATTGTGCAACGACTGCTTGTTCTTTTGATGTTCTAGAACACTTTATAACTGGCATTATCACGATTGCTTTTTGACCCGCGTTCGAGCCCCGCTGTGTCATTGGTACTAGGTTGTTTTTTTTTTTTTCTCATTTCGTGCGATGATTACGGACGCCGGCGGCGGACAACTGAGACGCTGCGTGCGGGACCAGAGTTGTGATCTCAACAGCTTTCGCTGTGAAACATGCAAAATCTGAGCCAAACATCATTTTCAGTTGCAGGGTGCTGCTGCAATTAAAGTTAAGTGTGTGCAATGATTCCACACAGTTGACCAACTCACATGGGCCTCCAGATAAGTGTCCGAGAGGAGTCCTCCCTGCATTTGACGGAATCCTGTGCGCAACAGCGGTAAGAAAATTCCTGTCACTGAGACGTGGTCGCCTGGCAAAGCAGAACGAGTTAACTCTCCACGCACGTACACAGTCATGCTTCGTGGGATGTTCCCCACGGGCACTTGGTCACTCTGCAAGAAAAAAAAACAAAGAGCGGGGAGAGAAAATCAAGAGGTGAACTCGTTCTGCCCAATGTTATCAAATAAAGACTAAAACATCAGTGAAAAACAGTCAACATCCCATTTTCAGACACCCCTAGGGGCCGGAGCCAGCAAAATAGTCTGAAAAAATAAGGCAGCCCTAAACACGCTTTAAAAGAAGCATATTCAAAGCATGTTGCGAAACACACAGGCTGGGGTGGGAAAGCTCATTAGACTACCTCTAAAACATGTGCGCACGTGAACGACGTGCTATCCCCCCCTCCCCCATAACAGCAGCAAGTCACCTACCAGGCTTTCACAGTCTCTGCCATTATGTTTGCTGCACTGCACTCCCATATTTTCAATGACTGTTCATCATGCACAACCCATTCTTAAAAGCACTTGAGCAGGGCGATAGCAAGTTGCTTCTGTTCCTAAAAGCAATGCGTCTGAGCAGCGCACTTAGCCGTCTCACACAAAGAGGCAGCAGTGAACAGCAGTGTAATGCATTTACATTGTCACCTTCTATAAGCGCGCGGTACACTTACAACTACCCTAGGACACATGCACTATCGAGCTGAACGCGGCTCATGATAGGGCTTTCAGCTATTAAATTGTACTGGCACAGTTGCCACCTGCCACCACGCTTCCAAACATTTCTAGCACTTAACCATTAAGGCACTGCAGCACTAGACCATGACAGTGACCCCTTTAGATTTTTGGCATGTTTCACCCACTAACATCCAGACTCTGCAGCAAAGCTGACTTTTGGAATCCCATACAGCCACATGCATACAGACTTGCAAAATGCACTCGTTCGAGGCTACAAGGTGATCTAAAACTTGAGCAGAAAGTAAAAATAATCAGACGTCGAAGAGTTTTCACATCCGAAAATTCACATGCTTTTATACACCAACTCTGTAGTACTTGTGGTACCCTAGTGGATTGCTCCGGAAATTGTGACCACCTGGAATTGTTTTTAATATGCACAAATATCTAAGCTCCTTTCAAAATAGGGCCGAGATTCGATCCTGCAACCTTTGGGTCAGCACTCAAGCAACATAATCACTAGGCCACCGTGGTAGATCAAAGGGCGCAGTGTAACGTCGTAACACACATCAGAGCACAGATGTAAGATTTATCTAAATAAACTACGTGCTGCTGTATAATGCTGTGCATAATATAAGAAGCTGTTTTCGCCTTATTCCTCCAGTTTAGCAATGTTTGACCATAGCCTGGCAAGTCATAAGAGCTGACCTATAACATTTATTATATTGCTGCGAATGCAGATATCGAACATTGCAACACACATTGCCACAATATGACGCCATCATAGTCTTTTTCATAAGCAGTTTTCATGCACTAGCACAGCTCTGTGGTTGAATACTTGTTTGCCATGCAGGATGCCTGGGTTTGGTTCCGGCTGTATCCATGATTTTCAATCTCTCTAGATCTCTGATTCTTCCTCTATCAACAATTATGCCGACACCTGCTCCCCATTTTTCGCAACACGAGCTCCATTAAGTGATCGCAAAGATTTTTTAAAGCCCCTTATCACTGTCCCTTGGTTGATACAGACCATGAATAACCTGCGGTTCATACATGCATTCTATGGCCCACAGTATACAGGTATGTGCTACCCACGATTTGTAGGAAAGGGTTTGATGATGTATGTGACAAGTATTTCTCTCTATTACGTAATGTAATGACCTGTTCATGATGTTTATCACACACTGATGCCCTCCCATGCAAATTTTGGCGTTAAGTAGTAGACAACCTCGAGAGTGCCCACATGTAGGCAGCTAGATACATAAATTGAAATGGTTTAAGTGCCTTTGGTTTGCTAAGAAATCCTTCACATTTAATAAAAATACAGGAAGTAACTGAAGGGCTTCGTGCTGTGTAGTCGCATAGTCGGAGAAGGACGTAATTGATAAAAATGCAGCTCATCAGCTAGAGCACCAAACACAGTGCTGCCATTGGCAGGCAACAAGGCCAATAGCCGGCGAAAGGAACATGAGTTTTCTACAAACCTTCATCGCTTGACAGGGCCCAGTATACTAAACAAAACACCAAAAAGATTATTTGCAGGGTTTATGTGATGTAAATCAATATGACTGCTTGGAACGGCCAACAACAAATGCATCTCTGCTGTCAACCACAAATGACAATAGCAAGGTCAGACATGCAACAGACTGACAACGACTATGTTGTTTATTTTGCTGGTGACATATTCACAGAGTAAACCCCTAGGTTCAAAGTGGATCTTGCTAACCTCGGGATTTGACCTGTTTCTGATTCGAAACTAACTTTATTTGAAGCGGTAACTCAACAATCTTGATGAGACATGTTTTTAAGATTAAAGAAAGCTAGATGTGCTTGCTACATCTACGCAAAGTTCAGCTTAGTTTTGGTTTTTGAATCTAACTTGTTAGATAAAAGATATTCTCCCATTTTCTTCACATTGCATTTAACAATTTGCTCGTTTGTCTCCTCTCTTGTGTCCCATTAGTTTCCACTCCCAATATTTCATTATTACATTAGTTTACAGTAATGTAAGGGCTTCCAAACCTTCACACCTAAGTTCAATCTTGGCACTCCACCTATTCTAACAACATATCAGTACACCATAAAATCTATTACTTATGCAATTCAGGAATATGATTCAATCAAATTAAGTTTACTTAGTGCCAGCCTTGTGTCAACAGCATGTAATAAGCACAATTTATATGAACTGCAACTTGATGTTTCCTTTTAATACTACCCAATCACCATAATAGAATGCTTAGGAAATGAGAAAAAGAAATGTGGAATCTAACGGGCATTGGCGGCCACCAGAGTGGTCGCAAGAATTTGTACTCCCCTCCCATCAACACCCCTGAGAGGAGAACTTCACAAGTGATGGCATCAACTGCACAGGAGTCAACATTCTTACGTGTTCTTGTATCTTGAGCTCTTGAAACTTGATAAATTTGGAACCTCTCGTTTGAAGGTAGAGCCGACCTCCTGCTCGGTTGACACGGCAGTCATCACTTGGGCAAGTCACCAGAGGCATAAAACTGGGGCTGTTGATCTGTGGGTAGAATAGCATACACACTTACAAAAAGTCTTCCTCACATGCCATACATTAAAAAAAACACTCTGCTCCACAAGTGCAGAGCAGAGACGACTCTGTATTTACCACTAGTAGTTGATTTTCAAGCAAGAGAACTGAAAAAAAAAAAACACAAGCAATCCAAAGCTCTGCTTTTAACCTAGTAGATCCCTACTGTTATTCCTCACTGCTGTGTTTTCTCACGTCATTTTTTGCTGTTTCCAGCATAGCTCACATAGTATCCAATGTATTGGAAACCTCACTGTTGTGTCGCCAACAAAAGTTTATTTCTTACACTCCCCACAAAAACGCATCAGCGGGATTCTGCTGTACTTATGCTGGCAAATGCATTAGCCGTCATTCCTACTATTTCTAATCCTTGAAAGTATGCAATAATCTGGTGCCTACGTGAAAACTAGGAACTTTTGAAGTGAATGCCTTAGATGCCTAATCAAACGTGAATATTGACCGGCCTACCATGTAAGCATTGACACGAGTTATGCAAAAAATCGTCATCACATAGTGACGTCATCAAGTCAGTAAAATTTGTTATGTCATCGCAAATGACGTCACATGATGACACGACCACTTGATCAAATGTGGACACATCTTGAAGGCAAAGCAAAACCATATTGGGTACAGAAAGCTTTCAGAGTGTGGCGGTACAGCAACAATAGTACTGAGAAATAAAAGGATATGGCTGCCACCTTTCAGTCGTCTTCAGTGTGTACATAAAAGACCCCATAAAATTTTTGTGCAGTTGTGAAATCTGCGTCTATCTGCTGCTGTAACTGCTTTTGTAGCCAATGACACAACACTTCAACATAACGAGGCGTGCGAAACCACTGCGCATACAAACTGGAGTACAGTCGGCTTCACACCATGCACCGACATACTAAACAGCGAAGTGGACAAACAAGATAGTGCTTGCACAACATTCTGAAAAACTGGTGCAGTACACTTGCAAACCTTCAATTTATTAGCATCACCCTACGATTGCAATGGTGCTTCCAACAAGAATTAGCTGTTTTGTGTAATCACTGTTTGTGCGCTGCACGTTTTCACACTTAGTCTCTCTTTCATATGAATTATATTGTCTTATCTAATGTGTTTGCTTGTGTTTTTTATCTCGTGGACCTTTCCCACTATGCTGGTTCAAGTCACAGCTCCTTCGTGCATGTTAGCAGAATGCTATGTTGCAAAAACCACCTAATAGCTCAACTAACTACGTTTACAATTTACAAATCTCACAAAAGCAGAGGTGGCCGCCGTTAGATACAAATGGCATTGCTTTTATTATTGTTGAGGGTTTTAATGCCAGAAAATCAACTAGCGCCATTAATTATCAACAAAACTATTCTTCACAGCCGGGCATTTCGAATTTTCCACCAGAGAAAACGGGGATCAGGGGTGGGAAAGCATTCGTACAAAATTACACGCAATGTTTCATTTCACATTGAAATAAATGAGACTGACAGTTATTACGAACCTAAGAACTGCTTAATAAAGGAGAGCAAAACAATATTCTTGTATCACTACTACATTGCGATTGTACTTGAAATTTCAGAGCAAAAATGCATGAGCTGTACTTACAGGCTGATAGGTTTCAGCACCACACTGGTCACAAGTGTACGTCGCAACACACATAATGGGTTTCACTTCAGGTACACCGTGTGACAATGCCTTTCACAGTAACGAGCTTCCCAATGCAGCCTGCCTTAACGTCCCGTACAGACAAAGGCTTCGTAGCAGACGGCATCTTGAAGTAGATTTCACTGCACCACAGAACAGAAAAGGAAGCAGGAGGTACCTCAATATGAAAAGCATTTTGAATACGATTCTATCATTAACAAGCCTATAAAGCATTCTGAAATGTGTGTTTTACAAACTTAAGGAAGGAATTCCTCACACAGATGTTTCAGCTAACAAACTGTTCCAATTACGATGCATATTTCATCACTGACACTATATAATTCATTAGTAAAAATATATAGAGTGTTTAAAGAGAATGCGTCTAATTTGGTCGGCTTTCTACATGACTGCAGCACTCATGTAATTCGTCGTCCAGTTAAAATCAATGCCTTTTCGTGGTCTCTTCAAGTTCAAAAATTTTATTTAACAAAAAGCCAGAATCAGAGCATTCTATTTTTAAAACTGAGCTATATTACAGTGCTGGCATCAAAGCAAATAATTTTAAAATACAATATGAGCACACTGCAGCTTGACGCTCACTTTGGCAGTTTTACCTGGTCTGTTCAACATGGTGCTATGTTGCAGGGAAACAAGTTACATTCTTTCATTTAAAGCCACTAGTCGGCAGTCCTTGTTGAACATAATATGAAGTCTTATTGAAGGACTGTTTCGAGAGAGAAAACATAAAGTTTACAGTTTTTCAAACTACTAATAGCATTTTCAAAGCATTTTGAATATGATTCTATCACTAACAAGCCTACAAAGCATTATAAAGTGTGTGTTTTACGAATTTAAGAAAATAATTCTTCACAGAGATGTTTCTATCAAACTAGTAATTACATTCTTATAGAATAAAACTTCACATGTAGATATAGTTATATTGCAATTAAATATCTGCAAACACACACTCAAATCCCATTATAACAAAGTTGCATCTAAAACAAAATTAAGTTTGTTACAACCAAAAAATCGTTATAAATGTATACTCCTAACACATATGTATTGTAAGGCTATGGCTAATTTACTTCGTTATAACCAATATTTCGTTATATCAAGGTGTGAGTGTATATATTCACATTAAATAGCATTTTCAGGTGTTACTCACTATCGCCTCATCAGCTCTGGTGGATACTTGTTGCGTGGATCTCGGACATCTCCGGGTTGTCGGTTCTTGTTTTCCATAAGTATACGGTGCTCAATGTACACATCTAAGGCATCCTTTGCAAGAATCTGCCATAAGAAAAAAAAAAGATGAACAGTTAGAAATATTAAATCACACCAATGAATTCAAGTTTGTTGATCTTGGTTTCTCCAAATATAGACAACACTGAAAACCACACTATTTAGTTTTTCTTATGCGGCATATTCTGCAAGCTATGTATTGCAGCATGCTACCCATTACTTAGAGGCCCGGCGGCACTTTTCCAAGTGATTATTCAATGGCCGCAGTCAAAGGGCTGTATTTGTGAGCGTAATGCCTCATGGATTGACTGCCGCAAAAAGCTTTAGAATCTGTCTCGCATGAGCGGAGTTACAGGGGTTTGTTGCACATGTCAAGTGCCTTCTCTCTCCTTCCATACTAGCAAGCGTGCTGAGCAACACAGGGAGGAGGATGGCAAGAGAGCAATATGTGCACCTCTGTCATAACCTTGAGCGCTTCTTTAAATTCAAATGCGCAAATCACACAGTTGGTCACACCTCCACGGCTTACTTATGGTATTATCGTGAGCACACGTAAGGGCTTGTGGCGGCAGTCTGTGGTGGCCGCAGTAACTATGAAGCTCATGGTGCTCACATCGGCCAATCATGGCAGTAGAGTTTGGGTTTATGGCATCATTTGTCGAGAGCAAAGAAAACGATATCTAGCTGACTTTTAAAATTAATCACTAATTCGAGGCAACATGCTTTACTACAGAATTCAGCTCAAGCGTTTGAGTTTTGAGTACAAACTGGCAGCGTTTGCAGACCATTTGTAAACAATGTTGCAGGGCCTCTTTAAAGGGCTGTTATCACGCTTAGCCATTACAAAGCACCTGAATTAGTCAGTGCAGGTACTGATAGCGGTGTTGAGGTTAGCAAAAGATCACGACACAGAGTTATCTGGGGGGGGACGAGAAAGAATGCAGAAAGGAGGGGTTGCCTTTTTGAGATGAGTGTCCGCACCATTGTGTGCCAAATAGGTGTATTTCTATATCTTTAAACACTGCGTATCCATTGACAATACATGATTTGCACGTGACGTCACAATTGCTTCAGCCCCAAAATGTCTGCCATATTGGTGAACAGCTGCACATACCAGTCGCATGACTACAGTGTTGAGTACGACGCAGCCGCATTGCAACGATCATTATCTTTCTCATAAACCGTTGCTCATGCGTCATGCCACGAGTTGTCACAAGGCAGCTGTTAAATGCAGCGTATTAATAAAAACAAGTAAGGCAAGCTAGTCTTCACTATTAGGAAAAAGTGTGATTGTGTGACAAAGTGGATCCCTACACAATTCAACTCAGTACGGACATGACCTCGGACGTATTCGCCTTTCCAGAAGCGTTGCAAGGCGACATGGTGAACTACTTGGTTTGCAGCACTAACCTTGTTACTCTGAGTGAAATAAAGGCACATAAGTCACTGGAATCGCACAACTACTTCTCTTCATCAGTGGCTGAGTAAAGAGCCTGTCTGCAAAGGAGCATCGCTACCGTAAATTTGATCATACTTGCAGAGGTAAGGAATGGTTCATACAATCAACTCGTTTACCAGCTCCAAGTTATCATATAGCAATGCAAGAACGCTGCTAAATGAACAAATGCTGATGTTTGTGCTTAGTTGTTATCCAAGTGCTGAGAAGTGCTCGCATGGGAGCGCGTTTTTCAATGACGCGTCCTTCTAGCTGTACATTTTCCCATATAATGTATGTACGTGTATATGTATGTACATGTTGAGGGTTTAGTCTACGTATGCGAACCGTTATTTATAAGAAGTCACGTTTGGATCAAACACGCATTTACCCCCGCTTGCTGCTTTTCACGGCACTGTTTTCTACACACTGCACACTTGAAGCTGTAGCAAAGTTGTAGAGACGGCACCCAGTCTGGGTTCATCTCACCGAACAATGCAGACAGTTTTCCTAAAAACACAAGAACATCTGTGTTAACCCTTTACTGGCTAGCGACCGAAAAACTTTTAGCAAGCAAGTCACGAAATGCATGCCACCTTTATTACCAGCTGTGAAGTACTCCCGGAGAACACAGCTTTCAGCATGAAAAGCTAGCGCTATCTCGCGCAATGTATTTTATGCTAGAAACAATTCTTTTGTAGCTGATGGTGGATAGTGCTAAGTGCGTGCAAAAGCACTCACTTTGTTCTTTCTCACCTGCCTCACGCAAGTTCTATCTTCAATAATTTTGCTTGGTGTGTACGTGCTTAAGACGTGGCACACGATAGGTTGCGCAGTTCTGAAGTATGTTTTTCACTGCAAGGTCCTCTCTTCTGTGGCATGTGGAGAATTTCTGACATACATAAAAGTATACATTAGAGGTGCATTTTAGATAATTTAACTATGGAAACATTTAAAGGTTGCTATTAAATGTTGCAAAATGAAAACTTCTTTTTGCAGCTTCATAAATTAGGTCATTAAAGGGTTAATTAATTGCCATACCTCCTCTCCTTTTCACTTGCCTACTACGAAGTGTGCTCGCCCAAACACAAATGTAGAATGTTCATTGAAATCTGTACCCCTTATATCTGTCAGCCATGTCCTCCAATGGTTAGTGCTAAGCATTTTTATCCACTCGCACTGGTCTTCAATTAATTAAGGTATTAAAAAACTGAAATTAGGGGCTGCTGCTTTCTTACGCAGCTGTCACTGTAATTATCGTAGCCCACATAAACATGTCATGTTAAAGGAAGAAACTCGCCAGTGCTGCAAGGCAGCACTGATCAAGGTCTAACTGCTGTTCGCCAACATGATAGCCACACTCCGAGCAGTGACGTCAAGTGATGAAAGTGCAAGGCATGTATAGAACAGATCCTGGTGTCTTGCTCAAGGGAGGCAGACACTCTTGCACATCGCTGCAGTTGTAGTTTGAGGGTAGGAGGTTGTTTCTGCCATCCACAGAAAGCACAGCATGTCTTTGGGGTGGACGAGAGAAATGGACTGAAAGTTAGAAGAGAAAGGCCACCTTCTAAGATGCTTTAAAAGTTCCAACGTGTAATGAATTTTTTTATCCAACGTGTAATGAAACCCTAAGCCAGTAGGAGTAGACAATTTATGGATATGTACAGACGGAATCACATTTGTCTAGAGCGGTGGACGCTGTTGATCGCAGCTGCTACCTCATTTAGCTACCAGCTCCCATTCGTGCAGGGGTGCACGTTAAAGAACCCCAGGTGGTCTAAATTTCCGGAGCCCTCCACTACGGCGTCTCTCATAATCATATAGTGGTTTTGGGACGTTAAACCCCATATATCAATCAATCAATCAATCAATCAATCCCATTCGTGCAGAAGGACCTAGCATGCAGTGTGACTAAGCTAGGTATCATTACGGCGCCGGTCTTTGCATATTTCAGCAGAAAACAGCAGCTCAAGTGGCCGATTTGGCGCTCAAGACAAGTACGGGTCTGTGTGCACGTATCACGGTTTGAACAAGTCTTACACTCCAGCATCTAATTCCGAAAATAGCAACTTTATCGCGCACAGGAAATCGAGAATGTCTGTGCACACCTCTCTCTGCTTGTAGTCCGGCAGCATCTCATACACGACATCCGCAAACAGGTTGCTGTACCGACGTGCATTTTGCGTGATGGCTTCCGCGAGGCCGCTGTCGTAGTCCTCGATATCATCCAAGTCGATGGTGAGCGCTACCTGCTCTCGGTGCGCCAAGTTCACCTGCAAGCACGTCCATCAGCCGGTCATCCAAGAGACATCGGCAGGTGTGCCTTACATTTAAACAAACGAAAAACGGTAGCCTTACCAGTTGCTTCGCATAAACGAATTCCTTTTTTCCCCGGTCACCAGTTGCGTAGAAGTCGGTGAGAAACGACTTGATCTTTTCTGCAAAAGACCGTTACCCCATTGTTAAAGGTCCGCGCCTTGGCCACAAACGTCAGCTCGTCTACGAATGAGAGCAAATATAACTGGAAAAACTGCCTCAACGTACCTTATCAGCGACGTAATCTTTTCCGGACATGATCTTGGACAAGAAATTTCTAAAGTTGCGAAAATGTTCTACGCTTTCACACGAGCGCAAGATGCCCGGCAAGAAAGCGACGCCGGAAGAGTTGAGAAAACGCGGGAAAATGAAATCACGTGACGTTTTCCAAAATTGACGTCACGTACCACGCTTTCTCTCTTCCGGAAAAGGGAGGGAAAGCGCGAATTGCCGTTCAGCGAGCGACGACTCTCCTCAAGCAGCGCTAGTGGCATAATAACTTTCCGCACAACATATGACTTTAGATGGCAGAGCTTGAAGATTAATTTTTCGCTCGAAACAGTAGACGGGTTGAGCCGAAAGTCATCAGCTGTGCCCGAGTGACGCATGCGCATCGCAGGCGGCTGGGTCTGAATGGCCGAAAATGGTAGGAGAGCTCGTGGTTTTTTTTTTCTTTTTCGGGAGTCTAGCTGGCACTAGCCGAAGCATGAAATAATGTCGCGTTAACCGTCGATGCATTTCTTCTTTTCAGCATAAATTAAAATCATCACAAAAGGAAAAAGTTAAACAGTTCATCGCCTTCACACAGACCGGAGAGAAGACGGCCATCCACTGCCTTACACAGCACGATTGGAAACTCGATGTGGCGTCGGACAATTTTTTCCAAAATCCAGACATGTATTACAGAGAGCCTAAAGGATCAGTTGACAGGAAGAAGCTGGAGCATCTCTTCAACAGATATAAAGGTAATGACAACAGGGCCTCAACGTGCGACGTTCACGCCTATTGCTCGTAGGCGAACCTCACTTGTGATCAGCCGGTTAGGCTTAATGTTTCAGTTTCAGCTCTTAAGAATCTCAAGTTTCTCTAGAAATTGTGTCCAAGAAACGTATTCTTCCGTGTTCTTACCGTCAATATCAGGTTGCTTGCCTGTAACTGCTTCTCATGTCGAAGTTTCGGAGCGTGTAAGCCGCGCCTTTCGCAGTGTTCGCTGCGCAGTGTGAAACAGTTTCACACTACTACGCTTATGCTGAGCACCGCTTATGCTAAGCATCATATAGTGTCACTTTTTTTTTTCGGCAGATCCCCACGAGCCAGACAAGATGACGGTCGACGGTATCATACGCTTCCTCGAGGACCTCGGTCTGAGTCCCGAGAGCAAACTGGTGCTCATAATAGCGTGGAAGTTCAAGGCCGTCGCCCAGTGCGAATTCACTCGGGAGGAATTCATGAACGGCATGTCAGAGTTAGGGTAAGAGCTTATCACATTTTCATCGTATCAGCGTGCGTTGCTCATCGTTAACACTCATACTCGACTCGTCTTTTTGCAGCTGTGACAGCATTGAGAAGTTAAAAGCAAAACTTTCAACTCTTGAGCCTGAGCTCAAGGAACCACTGAAGTTCAAAGACTTTTACAACTTCACCTTCAATTACGCGAAGAACCCAGGACAAAAAGGACTTGGTAACTACCTCTTTCAAATGCTGTTGTTGCTGTAAGATTATGACATGTGCTTATACACTTGTGAACCCTCATGATTATGTCCCAACTTACTCTGAATTTATTTTCTAATTTCGGTATTGAAACTTAGCCTGCAGGTCTGTGTTATTGTTTAGCGGCTGCCTTTGTGGTTTTGTAGAAGTTTGTGAAACTTGTAAATTTTCCTGTGCAGCAAGAAAGCATATTGCCTTGTCAGTAATTTTATAGTGTATACATGGTGCAAATATTGTAAAATGTCAGTTATGATTGTTTACTGAGAAATAACTTTGTTGCTAGGTTTATATCATACTTATAGTCGGATGCAACTTAGTGTAGGTGGGAATGGCCTTGCCAAGACAGCCTTGATGTGTCGTGACCTTAATGCCATGCTTTCCTCATGGGTCCAGGGCTCTGCGCATCTGCCTTGCAGGTGCAGATATCGCTGCCTTTTGAGTTACGTAGTGTAGCTAAACTTGTGGACTGACTGCACATTAAATTTTATCTTGTTTGTTATAGAAGCAGGCCTGTGTACATGACTTGCAAGTGATTTCAGTTCCTGTCTTCCATCCACCATTACTAAGCACATGAAGGGCATACGTCTTGGTGACCACACAGTGTTTACGTATGTGTGGCATATCGTTTGGTGTAATGTGCATGTTTTGATCATTTGCCTTGTGCATATGACAAAGGCAGTGAAACAGTGTTGGATGGGGTACTTCGATCCTCTGTGTCCCCAGTGTCCGAGCCCGTGGTTTCGCACATAATGGGTCAAACAACTTCGCATAAGATATGGAAACATACTTGCCTGTTATGAAGTGACGCCCGCACACACTACGTTGTTCAGTCTTGAAGTCCTTGCTTTTTATGCACATGAGCCATGCGCTATGCTTCTCAGACAGTGTTTTTGTGCGGTCACATAGGGTTTGTGATCACTTTTGGCAAACAGTATGTCCCCACTTTTAGTCCTTTTTTATTTCATTTACACTTACTTCATCATAGAATACTTTACAGCGCAACGGGTTAGGTACGGACAGAGAAGGCCCACAATGCACATCCGTATCTGACCAGCTGCGCTGTTAAATATTCTACGATGAACATTCACCAACTTGCCCAACTCGCTATTCCTACACTTAGGTTCACGTGTGGCAGTGAAATATCACGCAAATCGCTAAAGCGACGTACAGCGTTGGCAGAAAATGCGTGAGCCGCACAGCTTGGTTCTCTGCCATCTGCTGCTAGCCTGCCGTGTGTTTGGTGATGGTGGCTGATATGCCGAGATCATATTCTGGAGTAACACAGTGTGACATGCTTGCAAGTTATATATTGCTGTGTTTGAATTCTACAAAGCTTAAAATAGGCAAGCTAGAGAAAAAAAGGGGGGTATATATTTTTTTAATAACTGGATCTAGCTGTTCCATCTTGCTATAGTGTGCACAAATACTAGACGTTTTAATATGTCCAAGTCTTTATGACCATGTAATACCAGTTGTCCTGTGCACTAGGAAGGTTTTAGAAAGGTTTTACTGCTTTAACTGTGGATACCGATGCATGATTTGTGTTTAAATGTAGCATATTATCAGATAGGATTACCTTTGACTACTGCTGTAACCCAGGGATGTTGCCAAATTTTTCAGATCTGGACATGGCAATAACCTACTGGAACATAGTGTTTCCTGGGAGGTTCAAGTTTCTCAATCTTTGGTGCCAGTTCTTGCAAGTAAGAACCATTTCTCTTTAGACCAGTTTATTCTGTTGCACTCCATGAGATCACATTGCCGAGGCAAAGACCATGTTGAAAATCGCACAGACATAATACTCTATAATTAAACATCATTGCCTATATGTGTTCGTATGCTCCGTGAACTCCGCAGTGCATTTCATGAACTGATGTGAAATCCCAAGCAAGTACCCCCCCCCCCCCTTTCTATGGTGAAAGATAAACGAAGAGGTTTTAGGGGGGGTCTTTGCTCAGATGCGAACCAATATTGAAGATCATAGCCGAAAATCCTCTAAGAAGCTTCTAATGAAATGCTCATTAAATACACGTGCATTTACCCTTTTTACTGAACAAGGGCAAATCCTGTGTATACATTGTGTTTTGACAAGGGGAGGGGGAGAGATTTTCTTCAAATATTCAGGACATTTGTGAGTACACAGAATGCAAACCCAGGGCTACTACATTGTTAAAGTGCTAAGAAGTCACGTACACTTGAACCTCATTATAACAAAGTCGCATCTTGCATGCAAACAAGTTCGTTATATCCGAAAATTTGTTATAAAGGTTTATATTTTTTCACTATATCTGCTGTAAGACTATTTTTCATATACTTCACTATAACCAATATCTCGTCATATCTAGTTTCGTTACATCGAGGCTCGAGTTTGTATAAATTCTCAGGAACCGCTGCTGCAGGATTCTGTGGCAAAGAATGGGTTGAAATAAAGGGAGTAGAGGAGTGAGCTTGTTCGGCCATTGTTGCATATTTCAAATCTCCCAAAAAGGGAAATGGGGTGCTTGCTCAGGTAGGGGTGCAGGATTTTATGGTTCATTCGTAATGAAGAGTGCAAGTCTTGTGTGTTCTTGATTAGAAGCTTATTTTACCTGCGATGAACATTGAAGGCACCACTTTTATGCATCCGCTACCTTTTATTGGGAAAAGTCATCCGATGTCCTAGTAGACTGGCATCAACATGCAGTTTCGAATTAACCGTAATGATGGGAAACCCACTTGAGGCCTCTGTTCTCAGGTCGACATATTTTCGGGGTGAATTGTGATGAGCAAAATGTTGCAATCTATTTTATTTGCAGCTGACAGACTACGTCACAATTAAGTCTATGGAAACTGTTATTTTATTGTCAAAGCAAAAGATGCTTGCATAGACATAGGTACACACTTGGAACTCCTTAGTGCCGAAAATTTATACAAGTCTCGATATAAAGTATACCTCATCACTTCATTGTAGTTCATGGTTTTAAATTTACTTAACTCTCACGGTTTTTGTAAACTATGTGATATATCAGGGTCATTGCATATTTGTTTTAGGAGCACCACAGGAGGTCTATACCCAAGGACACTTGGAATTTGCTGTTAGACTTCAGTGGCATGATTGCTGATGACATGAGCAACTATGATGAAGAAGGCAAGTTTGAGTTGTGTTTGGGGTTTCACGGTTGCTGTTGTATAGAATTACAGACTGAGTACAGTGGCATATTGAAACAGGTAGGCGCACGCAGACGAGAACAATGAAAACGACATGCAGAGCCCTACTTCTAACTGAAATTATGAAGCACAAACACGTCATTTATGTATTTTCTTCGCTTATTACCTTTTGCACCCTGTCGATTTTATCTTTGATAGCGCATGCATGAACTCTGTTATAAACTTTTCCGACATGGTATTTTCTTTTTTTCTGCATCTATAGCCCTGTTTCGGTGCATACAGTCATTCCTCTAATTGTTAGCATTAAAAAATGCGACAGCCTTGTTCTGAAGCATGCGTTGTTACCACATGATGAGCAAAAAAACTACTACATGGTGCATTTGTGCCGTGCTTGGAAGTGGGAGTAGGTTCTGCCTGTCGCTTTAATTGCCTATCGTCGTGCACTCCCAGATTTCAATTTGGTTTTTCAACATTCCGTGCTAACTAGTTGTCATCACATCACACAATGAGACCAT